TGACAAACTAATTATCTGAAAGCATTTCTGAGTTATATATGCGGTGAACCGACAACACTGCTTAGCCCAACAATCTTAGCGAAGGTGAGAATAGTTTTGATATAAATAAATGTAACAATGTACGAAGATGTAAAAAAAATCCTTGACCCTCCCTCCAAACCCCTCCCCCTTTTTTCAAAGAGGCAAAAGTTCGCACGTAAGGTCACCTGGTAATTTCTGAAGGAGGTAGCCATTTGGCATGTGTTTCCTTATTGTAGAGCGTCTATTGTTCTCAGTCACGACGTGTGGGGAAACATAAGTGTAAAGAAAACAAATCTTTCACCATAGAACTGACGTACCTCACGTACGAGTCTTTAACACTGTCAATAAGCTATTACTTACCTGTGTGTATATCTTAAACATACCCTGAAACTTAATCTTATCCCTAGAGCCTTAAAAGCTGTTTTGCTAACACAGTATTTGAAAGAAACGACACGTATCATAAAAGAGACACAGAGTATAATCCTTATATGAATCTTGTATGGAAATTACAAGTTTTCCTCAGAAAAGTGGCAAAAAATCGTCTGAGACACTAATGTCGTCTGTAACTCTAAAAGCTGTTTTGCTAACACAGCTGCTTTTGAAAGAAACAACAAGTATAGTAAAAGAGATAAGCCTTATATGAAGCTCGTACGAAAATTACAAAGGGTGTTCCTCAGGAAACGCAAAAGAACGTCTGAGATACTACTGTCGTCTGCAACTTTAAAAGCTGTTTTGTTAACACAGCTGCATTTGAAAGAAACAACAAGTATCATAAAAGAGACACAGAGTATGAGCCTTATTTGAAGCCTATGCGGAAATTACAAAGGGTGTTCCTCAGAAAGGCAGCAAAAGATCGTCTGAGACACAACTGTCGTCTGTTTGTAAAAACAACACAATTAGCACCCCTCTGTTGCCTAGCAACGTCGCCATGCACCTGTCCGCGCTCTAATGACCGTGTGACGTGTCGCACAAAAGGTACATGCTCTGTTTTCAACAACCACAGCAAAACATGGGCCGAACATAAGGTCTTTTGTCACACTATCGCCAACATCTAAAACCTCTTGGCAGGGGTCTCTCATATATTTCGTGGACTGTGGTAAACGTGCATGTGAACATTTGTTAAATTATTATTTTTTTATTTATCGTCTTTTTACTTTATTAGTCAGTTGTGTCTAGATGCTTGCAAGTCACGTTAGTAAGGTTTGTACACTTGGGTGACTTTTTCTCTAAAGAGCAATGATCACAAATACACAAAGTATGTGGTTACAACAAAGGGATTGACTCTGTGCACACCAATAATCAAATTTTCTGCGAATCGAATTCAGTCTGTGACGCGAGTAGCTATGTAGAGAGCGATGTCAGGTATGCCCTTGTTATACAATGCCGAATATGGCCTCCCGAACACTGGCGAACTCCCCCCAACCATGGTTAGGAGTAGGTCGGGAGCAAGGTCGTTGGAGGTGGTTGGATGGTGTTCGGCGAGGTTGGCTACTGTTAGACTGCGCCAGTAGTATGTTTCTAAATGTTTAAAACTTTCGGGGGGGGGGGGCATGGTTGTAGACTGGTTGGGCGGTGGTCGGGAGTAGGTCAGAAGTGGTCGGGGCTTGGTTGGCAATCAAATTTGACTCTAATTCAACTCAAATTTGATTCTATTCGTATCGAAAGGTATGCGTGGTCTAAATCTGGTCAGCATCTCTCCCCGACCTACCGCCAACCTTCAAGTTGGTTCGTTGGTGGTCGGGGGAAGGTTTTGGGGATGTGTGACATGGGCTTTGACGAAGTCTTTGTGAGAGGTAGCATTGGGGTAGACGGATAAAAAAGGAACAGGGCATTTTAAACGCCGCCTGTTACGTTCTATTTCCAAAAGTGGCATGGCAAGAAGTCACACACAGGCACCCGTCAGATAACCTACATGGTGCCTGTGAGGAAAGAAATTTGTACCCAGAAACGTCTGTGAAAAACGTGCCTAGTCGACACTAATTCGAAAATAAAAGCCGAAGGTCTTGATCCCTGACTCTGAACTAATTTAACTTTGCAACTATTCATACTCCTTCTTGCAGACTATACATTGTTAGGCATTTACAACAATAAAAAAACCGCTAGGTACTTATAAAAGGTGACAATCAAATTCGATTTACACTCATTATAAATGTGTTGAAATTATATAGTCCTCTACAAAATGTAAATACGTACTATGTACGTTGAACAAGTAAAGATTACTTAGTTACACAACAAACTGTCAAAACATGTCACTACATGTTACTCTGACCTCCTAAAATTGCATTGTATGCAAACGAGTATCTTCAGTTAGCTTTTTGATATATCACATATTTGTGTGTGTTCAGCGATGTTGTGTACATAGTCAAGGTACAGGGTTGGGGGTTCAAGCCTTATCTGAGCTACATTCTTTGTCTCTACAATCTATGAAGTGGAACATTCCTCTCTGCAACGTACCGGCCCAAGCGCTGAGCGCATGCAAGGGTAAACATTAGTCTTTTGTTGTGTACGTGTGAACACAAACAGACGACCTATTGGTATGCATGGCTAATTGTACCTGGAGGTTACTTCTGTATAAAGTATCCACCAGACTCTACACAAAATCCATTCTTACCAAGGAGGTTTAAAGAGGATTTTCAACGGTTTGAAAGAGGATTTTAAAACCTCTTTGTCTTTACATAAACTTTGTCTTTGCGCACACCTTAAAGCACGCGTAAAGGTTCCGTTTCTTCATTAGTGTGTACCTTTACGCATGCTTTAAGACATACGTAAAGACAGGATTTCGTCCAGTGATCGACTAACAACGTTACGCACGTTCTAAATGTTTCCAAGTAGGTAGAATGATTGGTCAGGGAAGTTTAGCCACCGTAGAGTTCATTTGCTTCCGAGGGGAAAATTAACCTTCCCGTGGACTGACTCTACTGGCCAATTATTCTCCCCTTTGTTGCCGAATTCTACGATCCGTATCTCCGTAGGAAGGCCTGTTAGAGGCTACTCAAAGTCGGAGGTATATACTCTACATGTAAATTATCATGCTTGACGTATAAAGGTGTATTTTCTATGTATAATCTGAACTATCTCACATGGTTACAGCCTAAGTCAGTTAACATATATTTCCGACATTTCTAAGCCTTTTTTCATCAGTTCTAAGCTTTTTGTCGTCACCTTGAAATTCCGTGACTAAACCAATATGAACTTAGGTGAATACCTTTTCAGTACTTAGGTACAAAAAAGTGTGTTGTTTAATGCACTGTTTTCTCACGTAGTCAGGACAAGGCTATCGTACGGGGTAAAATGTAATGAACCTCTTTTTATGTAATGGTCTCTTTTTAGGCGGAATGCTGATATGAATGTCTTTTCGCAGGTTTAAACAAAGAAAAGCAAGATGGTCCTGAAGACCACAGCCTCGTCCAACCCAGCTCAGATTGCTATGACGATACTGCTAATGTTGATGTTCATACGGCCGTCTGAGGGCTGGTATGGGGCGGACTACTGGAACGACCGTTACGGTGGCCAAGGGATCTTTTACGATACAGGTCAGTTACGGTCGGCTTTACAAGAATGTGTTGTATTTAGTCTAAAACATCTGTATATCAATATCTCTAGCGGACTTCATTGCGTTGCTGGAAAATAGCAGAATTTTTGGCATTACATAAATGTACATTTAAAGTCTAAAGAATCTGTATATCAACATCTCTTTATCTCTTTAATAAGGCCATGCTGATTTGATTATGGATGATAGATGACATCCGCGTGCGCATGAATTTTCACCCGTTCCGAAAGCAGCTGCAAAATATATGCTGTATATTTGAAAACAAAACGATACTGATGTCATTGAGTGCCAAAATCAATTCCAAAGGCAAAGAAGAAAATGTGAAGAAATGAAAACGAAGAGTCTATAATTCACCATACCATACTCTGTGTGTTTAGTCATCTGTTCAACCTTCATGACCCAGTAGATTTCATAATGGATGCAACGACTTTGTCAAACTTGTTTTATTCCCATGCTTACATGTGTCAGTTTTGGGGTTCCCATTTCATCCATACATGACCTAACGTTATCAAGATAGCAAAGATTTTCAGAGGAAGTTGGAACGTTAAATCACTATCAGAATTTTGGGATATTGTGTAATGGAATTGTGCTTTCATCAGGCCTTTATTCCTTACGGTGTCTTAAATCGAACAAAATGTGTTCTCTCCCACTCTTCTTATCAAGGCGACATGTTTAGTGGTCTGTGGTCTGCCGATACCTTACAAAGTGAGTATCGGCGCGCAGGTTCGGACTGGTCTGGGAGCCATTGCTCGTCTTGTACCTGCAATTCACGGACACAGACGGTCTCCTGTAGCTCTGGTACTACTGTGTAAGTATATAGGAACCGTACGTCTATCTAAATATGTAAAGTATGGATAGCTGAGCTATAAAAATTGCATAAACCAATACAAGATCTGTTTAAATTTGTTTCACTGGGATGCTAATGGAATTAATGGAGTAGTCAGTTGCAATTCAAGCTGCACGTATTAAAGCTGCATTGTGTAACATTAGGACGAAACAAAAAAGTCAATTTTCTAGTCGTCATTTCTTCATAAATTGAGTTGAATCAATTGCAGCCTTACTCCATTGCAAATACGTGTCATTCAGGAAGTGGAGATGTCGGAATATGACGCCTTACGAGTGTGCTTAATAGCTGGAAACACAGCTGTCAGCAACATTCTGGTAGTTTGAGTTGGTGGCCCAAACGTAGTGCACATCGTGTGGGATGTTTTACCAGTTATAAGTATGACAGAATTGCACAAATATGTTGAAAAGTGGAAGTAAATTACAATCATATGAATTTTTTTCCTTCAAAAGTTTGGTGCAAGAATGTTACATAATGCCTCTTTAACTAATCGCTACCACCCGATGCTCGTGCAATTCACAGGGCCATAAGAGGGCAGAATTTCCATTTCAATCTGACAGAGACAACCTTTTCAACATCCGTCACTGAGATGTAAGTCTGCTACATACATTATACAATTCTTAATAAAATCCTGTTTCCACCAAATCTCTGGTTTGTTTATGTTGGCCTGTTAGCGGTTAAAAGAATATGATAAGAAATGTTGCAATCATTTACCCAGCGTATTCTTGTAGTTGGTGTTTGTTTGGTGCATTTTATGTGAACTACAGACAAGGTAAATTCGCCCTTGAGTGACTTTTTGTTTCCCTTGCCTCTCCAGTACCATAGTAAACTCCAGACTACAGTACATCGACGAAAGAACTTTCTCAGACCTCAGAAGCCTCCGGAAATTGTAAGACAATCGGTGTTTTTCTTGGTCATAAAAAATTATCTACATGTATTTGTCAATGGTCTGAACCATCACCACTATGTGTAGTTGAAGGCGGAAACATCAAAACGTAGTGATCAAAACTTTTCAAGTGAAACAGGTGTAGTTTTCACTTCATGAAAAGTGGGATATAACAATGGTGATGAATTCCAGAAAAGTCTGGTAATGGTTGCTCTTGGCAATTGATACTTCAGGCAAAGACTATCATACTTTCCTGGTATCTGTCTCTATTGTGTTGTCAGACATGACCGGACGTACCGATCAGATGTTCCTGGAATATATTTCTAAATAATTCATGCCTTATTGTGCTTTCTCCTCTTCACAAGGACTATCCATGGAACAGATCTCAGATACTTTCCCGACATCTCCAACTGTACGGCTCTTCAAAAACTGTAAGTTATCTAGAAAGATCAATTTATGATTGTTTTAATACATTTTTGAGAATCCATGGTATTTTTAGATACAGATAAATAGAGTTCATTTGACCATAATCGGTCTTTAATTATCTTGATGGAGACGACAGTGGCCATTGAAAAATTGATCCCTGTGTACTCTTTGTTTTGGAATAAACATTGTACTATGATTGTCAGATAAACGTTCACGATAATTTGAAAACAAATCTATACTGAAGTATTATATACACATTACGTGGGACTGAGACTAACGACTAACGTTTTCCTCATTACTGTTAAACTCCAGAGACCTGAGTTACAACAACATTGCCTTCCCTGTTGGCGTGGATCCAAAACTACAGTTTTCAGACACGCTTACACATGTGTGAGTTCTTGTACTAGATTCTTTTTGGCTTTGGTATTATTCCATTGGATTTTTAGATTAGTCCTTTTGAATACTTTTAACGTAAGAATATGGTTGTTTGTTCACCAGCCTATTAGATCATAATTACAGAGCATTATTTAATCAGTGTACCCCCTAGAGGTTTCAAAAATTTGAATAACAAAATATTGGACAGAAGTCAAATGACGTAACAGTGGTTCAAAATGTTTTATGCTACTGCAGGAGCCTTATGGAAAACAACATCAGCTGGGTTCCCCGTGGACTCTTCTCCGGAACCAAGATTCGCTACTTGTAAGTGTTCACAACTTGGTTCATTATGCTTATCTTCGCAGAAGGTAAACAAATTGTTTATGTTCTTTTCCTGCAAACAATTAAGATCAATGCCCTGGACGGCAAGACAGACACGTGATGGTAACTAGTGCTGTAGCAAACACGATGAGGGGTTGGATTACATTATGTAACACATTGCAGGGCAAAGTCGGGGGCTGGCCTTTGCTTTGCAAATGTTACTTTTCTAGCTGCCACTGAGTTGTCTGTGCTGTCAGCATCATTATGTTCTGAATGGAATAAATGAATGAATAAATAAAAAGGATTGTCCTCAAGCCCTGCCTAACATCTCTCTACAGGGGCCTCAGTGTGAACAAGATAAAACAGTTCCCGTCAAACGCACTGGAAAATATGGCTGACCTGGAGTTCTTGTAAGTAGTTATTTTCTATATCTTCTTAGACAAAAGCTATTCTAAGAATAGCGTGAAATGTAACATCAACTGGTAAATTGTAGTTGGTTGAAATAGTCTAAGTAGATACCAAATGCCACTTAGACACTCTTTACTCTTACTGTATTTTCTCCTAAATTGCCATTTCTTTTATAGATCTCTGGACCAAAACAAGCTAACTTCATTGTCAAGGATAACGTTGGACACGCTTGCCGTGTCTAATATCATGCATCTGTAAGTATGGTGATAAAACATTTCGATAAAACATTATGAATTTTTTGACCCGCAAAACTTGAAAGTACTACTGTTGAATCAAAATATTTACAATACATTGAATAGTTTGTGGCTAATGATGTCTTTTCCTTTTTTCTCTCAGCAATTTCAGCAACAACGAGATCAGTTACATCGGAGCAAAGGCATTTCTTCAGCTGACAAATCTAAAGATCCTGTAACTATCTTTATCATCAGTTTCGTAAACTTTGCAGTTGGTACTGGCCTTAAAATGTAGTGACTAAGTTTGTTCATTGATGTCGTCCTAGCCATTCGATATAAATGCCATGTCCATAGTTAACCAAGGATTAAGGTGTCCAAAACTCGATAGAACTATCGTAGAGTGGAACTCGCTGCCGCCAAGCGCAGTAGGGGCATAATCATTGGATAGCTAAAAAGTTTAGAGCTAGATGTTCAAAGGCCAGATGTAACAAGTCGTTCGGTAGAATATAGCTAGCTGTCGCCGCGAAGCTGGTGTGTTACGCCGAGGGGCGGTTATATTGGATATACAGATATGTATCTCTTATTCAGGGAACTGCATCGGAACCTGATGACGACCATTGGATGGAACACCTTCGACAACTACCACAGTTTACTTCACTTGTAAGTATTTCTTTTTTGCGTGTGTACATATTGAGTAGCACACATATAAAGATTATATCATTGCTTACATGTATGTCTAGTGTGTATGTAGATGATAACTGGATGCAACTTGGATATACATGAGAGAATTCCGTGGCGTTCCAGTTGTTCTCTCTATTGAAGCCCGGTAACAGTTCTTATCATTAACACCATATCAATTGGTTGTACTAATGTCGTTTTTCTATAGTTACATGTCACTAAAGGCATATTAGAGTGCAACACTTACATTTGCTATTAATTGTTTGCAGAGATTTAAACTACAACAAGCTGAAGAAGCTGCCAAGTCGCTCCTTCACCAACTTGGGCGAGCTGAGGACATTGTAAGACTTATGATCCGTGAAAATTGACTTCTATCTACGAACTCACTACATTGCCTAATCATCTAACGTTACGTTATTATCATCATGATAATTGCATAGGAATGATAAAAATATAATGCTGTTTCATAGGATCCTACACAGTCAACAGGTACCAGATGCCATGCAAGCAATCATGTTTGACGCCTTTTACAACCTCACTCAACTGACGACATTGTAAGTCTAGATTACATATGTGTGTACGTTAAAAATTACAATTGTGCTACTTCATGTAACTTAAAGATATAGTAATATTCTACCCTATAATGAACTTCTTATCATGTGGATTATATACACTTGTTTATTTTATTCATTTATCTACTTGTTTATTCATTCATTCATTCATTCATTTTTAGGTTTATCAGCAACAATAGCTTCACAACGTTTCCACACCCTGCATTTTCTGAGGAGGACTGGCCAAATCTGCGATTCCTGTGAGTTAATTTTCCTCTGATCTATTCTATCTCTGTTTGGTATTACCAAATATGCGGGTCATATCGCTGACACTTGAAGTTGATTATTTGCATGTATTGGGCAGCAAAAGAGACGCAGAATATTATTTCCACTTGAAAATACCAATACATAAGAAGGAAATATAAATCATACAAAAAAGTTCAAGGGTGGCCCGACGCTTGTACGTATGTAAAGGCCTCCCTTTATCAACTTATAAAAATTGAATAAATCAATTGAATAAAAGAAATAGGTTTGGTAACATATAACCGAAGCAGGTGAGAACACAGTACAATAAAGAACTTGCCATAACTTGAGTGATCATGATTGGATTTGAGTTTACGATTTTATGATGAATATGATGCTTACAAAGGTTATATCACAAACGTGTAGGCACGCAGACCACAACAAAATCGTCAATGTGACTGAGTACTCCAACAATGCCTTCGAGGGTGTGTACTTGTCTCTTTATGCGGCCAGGAGAATTCAACACGAGGGTCAACCGTTTTCAAAGCTATCGTCTGTACAGACCTTGTGAGTGAAATTTACATTACTGACATAACGGCAATCTAAATTTATTGTTATACGCATGATAAGTAATAGTTAAATAGTTTAAATGCATTGCATGTATATTGGTACAATAAGTCGAGTTTAATGATAATTTGTAAAAATGTGAATCTTGGAATTAATAATGGATCATTATTATTATCTATTCTTGTTATTATTCTTGTTTTCTCTATCATCATTAACATTATTATTGTTTTCCATACTATCTTTATATTATTAATTGTATGTTAATGCTTTTGTTTGTGACTGAATGAATACTACTGTTGTTTATTTATGATGCAGGGCCCATGCAAAGCAGTGGCAACCACTAAGTTGGGCAACTCCGGGTGAAAAAAACAGAACAGAACAGAAATAAAAAATAAATAAGTAATATAGCCCTAGTTCGTATTGAGGTCTTATTTGTTTACATTTTTGCACACTTTTCCAGATGGCTCCACGACAATCAGATCGCTTCTATTCGTAAGGATGACTTGTGTCATCTGACGAGCCTGACAACTCTGTAAGACTATCCACTATTACATTGCACTGATTAATCCATTTCTGAAATTTTTGTCTCGTTTTTAGTTTTCCTAACAAGTTAGCATTATTGTCATGATGTCGTATTTTCTTGCATAGTGAGCTTGGTACCAATACATTGGACGAGACAACGCTACAGTCTGGTGCATTCCGGTGTCTTGGGAATCTACAAAACCTGTAAGTTTTCATTGAGTATTTTATCTTGTTCAAACATAACTGGAAAGTTATGTTTTTAACTCAACATTTCGTATGTATGACAAATTCTACAAACACAATGAGCACCTTACAAACTACTGTGCTCTAGCTACATATCCCATTTAATGGTGTGAAGCTGAATGTGTACATAACATTGACAATGAAATTGAACATTATCCTTACTACTTATGCTAGACAACCTTATGTCTGTTTAACAAGCCAAATCAAAATATGTTCTTTCAGCCGTCTCGGCAGTAACCGTATCCAGTACCTACCAGTGTCTAAGTACGATGACGTATATCCACCAGTAGTCCGGGAATTGTAAGTAGCTTTGAAATAGGTTTGTCTGTGCATTTACTTTTTACTCGTTTGAAACCACTACTCGCCTTTTCTTAATTAGCTGTTCAATTGATAATTCATATTAATGGAAATTATAAACTTTCTCCAACTCAAAAGGAATTTGGCTCACTTACTAGGCTTTTGGACAAAATCTCTCGGTCGTCATCAGCTATCAGGCAGCTAAGTGGTGTACACTCGTATTTTCTTCTGCACGTATGACGACCACACTGGGTCAAAGTTCTTGGGAAGTCGGTACCGCCACCCGACCAGGTTGAGAAGGAAGAGAGTAACCTTCTCTCAACCCAAACGGGGGGGGGGCATTTGGGTCAGGTAGCTGATGAAGACTGAGTCTGGTGAGTTAAGTTCTTTGGAGTTGGAGAACGGTTTAATTTTCATCATGTAACTTACCAACTCAGATGAACATTCATGCTAATGTTTCACATTGTTGTTGTCTTAGGATCATAAGCTCCAACCGACTTACTTTCCTGCTAGAGGGGACCTTCAGTAACCTAACATCCTTGCAAAATTTGTAAGTATTTTTTCCTCAAAAATACATTTTGCCTATTGCTATCTAAAAAGTATCAATCTTGTATGACGAGTGCAACTATTTGTCATTGATATCATGTGGTAATATCAATGACTTTTTTTCACAAAACAGATTCCTGGATTCAAATAGAATCATCACAATTGAGGATGGAACATTCCCAGACGAGATTAGGATCATGTAAGTTTTTGTCTGGCTATTACATGTATCATCATCATCTATCACTATCGAGGCCGCTAAAGTTACGGTGTCCAATGCGATATCTAGGTCTTGAAATCTAAGTTGAAAATGTATATCAACATTTATGGAGCTAACATATCGAAAAGCACAACAGAAAACGGTTAAGGGAAGGATCCTAAGCTGATTTATGGGAACCACCCAGAAAAAATGGCTCATTTTGGGGCTTGTTTTTTATTTTTATTTTTTTAAATGTATTTTATTTATTTCATTTTCACACACCTGGGTAGCCCAACTCATCTTTGACAAGTTGATTTTCAGTGGGGCCTAGTTTACAGAAATGATAAAACATAAGTTCTTAAGTTTCTATTGAATACTGATGCAAATGTAATAATGTGTCAATATCATACAGATTTCCTTATTCAGAATACGTCCTTTTTTGCCGCCCTAAAATAGCATCGGGTGCCTTTGAATTATGTAGGTAACAGGCTGAATATATATATATATATATATATATATATATATATATATATACAGAGAGAGGGAGGAGAGAGAGAGAGAGAGCTGTGTTGTACAAATATCCAAAGTACCTTACTAAAGTCAATAACATTTTGACTTTCCCCCCAGAAACCTCCAGAACAATAGATACTTCGACTTCCGTCATCAGAATCCGTTCAGCAACCTGACACGACTGCTGGGTATTGTTCTGGATGGCAACGCGATTACAGAAATCCCAGAAACTGCATTTTACGGGCTCGGAAATCTATTTGGACTGTATGTATTCTTACCTTAGACCTTATACTACAGCCAATGTTCATCGGTGGACTTAATTTCATATAGACAACATAAATGTAATGAAAATTATGCCGTTAATTTAAGAAGCACACACACATACTGAAAAAGTAATGTATGATGATGTGGTTTGTACTTTTCTTCAGCATATCTCGTGTTTTATATGGTCTACAGTTTTGTTGATCAAGTAAAAGGAGGATATTATCTCAATCGAACATGTATGTGAAGAAACAGAAACTGACTACTTCTTATAACTATCATATATCCAAGCAAAGTTATGATATCACATGAATTAACGAATGGCGACCTTTACAAGAGCAATGTCACTCACCACAGACCAGAAGGTTCTATTAGATGTACATTTAGTGATCACAAATTATTCATTCCAGGAGCCTTAGTAACAACAAATTAGGTTGGATACGAAAGGATGCTTTCAAAGACTTTGTCTTCCTACAGACACTGTAAGTAATCAAGGATTCTTTGTTTTTACTTTGTGATTTAATAGTCAATGAAATAGCAAACAGTGGCCATTGATAATTAAAAAAACATCGTTTGTTTTCCCCAAATGTCTGTAAACTAATAAAAATTCTGCATCTTTAAATCGTTTTCCATCAGAAATCTCGACAACAACGAGATTGGATATGTGGAGGAAGGGACCTTGGACCAGCTGCCAGACATCAGACATGTGTAGGTGCATTTTATTGTGTTTGTTCAAGAGTCCCTTTATTTTGGGGTACCACCAGTAATTAGCTAGAACCAGCCTACAATACGAAACAAGCAACGGTTTTCCGTCAGCGACATCACATTTTTGTCTCACAGATATCAGTATGTTATGGGATAGGATTGATTCAACTTACTACATTATTAAAACAAGTAAAATCTGAGATTTTATACCTCCGGGCTTTTTATTGTATATTTCTATATGTTGTTTGTTATGTATAGTTGATGGTGTTGAATTTTATGTGTTTAGCGTTCCTGGTTGTGTTAACACAGGTCAACATTTTCATCTGCAGCCCATAACATGTACCCATGAACTTATGAAATTCTATTTAATCTGCCGCAATGAACTCGTAATGAAACTCAGAATGACAACCGGAACCGTTAAATCAGACGTTAAAAATAACGGCTGAAGTAGCAAGCCATCCTTATTGTCACTTCCTCCATTTTCCGCCAATTCTTCGTATAAATCGGGGAAGTAAAGAACGCCGAGAACGTCTGAGACCGTATACCGCGGTATTTGTAAGTTAATAGTCGTAATATACGCCGAAAACATCCAAAACAAAGATTGCGCAAGAGTACGTTGACCCCTGACCCATTGACCAACCCGGAAGTTGCTGCCGATCACGCGTCCTGTGAACGCGTACTAAAAATACCCTCCAAACAACATTTGTTGCGCCTCGCATACAGAAGATGTATGTGCACAACAACAATTGTTGCGCGCCGCAAAACTAAGAATTTATTGAGACCCGTCACCCCTCTGTGCGACTGTGGACGAGACCGACTATATCTGACACACGCAAAAGATCGACGGTCGCGACCCACTTTCTCACTCAAGGGGTGTTCTGGGGCCATCAAAAGGCTCCATTTTCACGCCCGAAAACACATATACAATAAAAACAAAAGAACGTGCATCATCTGCAGCCCGATAGCAAAACATATACCGAGTCTCAAAAGAATCCGTCCACTCAAACGCGAGGAATCGCTGCGAACGTGAAATTCTAAAACTCTCACAAAGCCCTTCCGCGGAAGGATGTCTCCTCCCCCGGAGGCAATAATTACCAAACTTTTAAAACCCAGTTGTCTTGCCCTGAAATTGCATTAGATGACTTTAACATTACATCATAGGTACCATTATCCAACTATCCATTTGTGTCTTTCAGGCAACTGAATCACAACGATCTGACATCTCTATCAAATACCGGGGATTTCTACAATATCTCTGGCAATGACCTGTACGTACCTGCATGATCAGATGTTTTGTACTATCATCTATTAACATCGATTAGAAAGAAAACTGTTCTCAATATAATTAAAATACATAGTTCAAAATGGCTGATCGCTCTTATTGAAAAATATTCAATTTGGTATTTTTTTTATTTCGCATTCAATAACAAAAAGGAACCACAAAGACTATACATATTTATATAAGGGACAAAATCAGGTATATTGTAACAATAGAACATGTTCAGATTCATACTCTACCTTAACCAAATCAATTTCATCTACCATTTTAGGACCTTCCAAAACAACAGAATAACTGCAATCCGCAACCACACTTTTAAGGCAATAAGTGTAGATATCCTGTAAGTATATCATTTCATTACACATGCATTAGAAACGACCATAGTGGGGTTCTTTTACAGTTTGAGAAATAAACGAAATGCTTCTTCTATTATCCACGGTCAGTTATTTGCTCATTTTTTGGCAGTTATTTACTAGGTTTGAGACAGAACTGAAAATCATGATGTGACTTATATTCTATATCAGGAATCTGGAAAGCAACTCTATTTCCATCATAGAGCGCTACGCCTTCGACTACGTTGCAACATCGAAGATGTGAGTATTTGCGTTTTCCATCAACATTTCTACTGCTCCTTAACTTAGTATGTGGCAATGCACAAACAGAAAGTTAAAGCTAACTTTTGTTCACTTCAGACCACTAGATCACCGTCGAATGCCTAACCTTGATTGACACATTATGTTCCACGTTGTCTTACAGAGATCTGGATAACAACCCTACAAAGTTGGTGGAGTCGTATGCATTCAACGAAGTACGGTGTGTGGCGAATGAAGGATTGTAAGTACTTTATTGGATATATGTAATACATAGATAGAATTGAATTTGGTAAAAGATAGAAGCATCAGCCAGAAGTTGATATAATTATAGATTACAATTACAGTGTCCGGCCATGAAGGTAAAAGTTGTGTGGCTTTTCATTACATTGCTGACCATGTCATTATTGGTCTCGGTCTGCAGGACATTCAAGAATGCTGAATTCGAGTTGCTGAATTCTTACGTATTCAACGACGTTCATGCCAGATATCTGTAAGTGGTATTTTGAATGATGCTCCAATTGCATGCCTTCTGTAATGTATTCAAGAAATAGAAAAACTTTTCCAAGCTTTCTGAAGTTGTTACTTTACCTAATCTTATATATGGCAATATAATAAGTTGTTAACGTTATTTCATGATCAGCTATTTTTACTAGTATTCATCCTTTATTTGATTTATGTTTGGAATTCCCCCAGCAACATTGAAGAAACGCCATTGTGGCCATATGTCTTTCCCTGGTTAAATAAACAAGCTGAGAAACAAACAAACAAGCAATTAATGCTTGGCTCCGTTTTGCTTCATGCCTTATCTTAACCAGCTACCTTGATGGAGGAGCAATCACCGACATCGCTCCCTACGCTTTCTATAAAGTCAACGTTGACTATACACTGTAAGTACGAACTTCTTTAGTCCTGTGAGTCTTTAATTGAGATATCATATTTTACGAAATTTCTTATGAGTAAAAAAATCAAATAATGACACCGTGCTAATTTTGCTTTCAGAGATTTGCAGAATAACAGGATATCTTCTATAAGGGAGCATGCTTTCCACGAGGTTACAAGTCGAAACATGTAAGTATGAAATTGCAGCACTGTTACAATACAAGTGGATCTGTAGTCCTATATAATGCCAAGTGAATGACTGATTACTTTTCAAACTAAGGATTAAAGACATTGCATGGATAATAACTGTCATATTGCAGAAAATACAAGGCCTGTCTGAATAAATGAATTCTGCCACCGTACCTATATTCTGATTTTCAATATATGTAATATATGTTTGCTGACCGAATCTTGGTTTTCTTTTACAGATATTTCCAGGGCAATCCTGTCTCAACTATTGAATCTTACGCTTTCGATGATGTTGCTCCCTTCGACCATCACAACAACTATCTGTGAGTCTTTTCACTGTATCGAATATTCTATATTTTGTTCTTTTCATTCCTATTGTAGCAGTTAAATTGAAGTAAAACAGTAATACCAAGTCAAGCCGTATCAAGAGTGTAGTGTGATTCCAAAGATATTTTAGACACCAATTGTGGCAATCCGTAGTGTTATTATTAGTTTTATATTTTAGACAACAAAACAATACACTTATGGTCTTTCCGCAGGTATCTAAATAATATGGACTTCACTGTGATACCACCACACGCATTTAACAAAGTTAGGGCGTACAATCTGTAAGTAACCAGCAAGCTTTTTATGACATTGAATGAAATCAAAATATTGTATATGAATCTAATTTTGTCAACCGGTGAAACCACCATCACGCTTTATGTTTTAGCTGATATGTTATATTGATTTATCAATATTCAAATTCATTTCTTGTTATTTCTTAGAAGTAGAAATCATAGTCTAATCTGAAGGCGACGGACAGAAGTTATGTCAAACGTACTATCTTATCATATCATTTATTCCCAGTGATATGAGTGGAAACACCCAGCTGACATCGATAGAAGAGCAAGCCTTCGACGTAACCATCACCAACAGCCTGTGAGTACATCTTAGTAGATCAAACTTAAATGTACACTCAGCACATGCCCTTACAGCTTACAAACGTCTGCGTCACTTCACTTAAGCTTTATTGTACTAGTATTTTTGTTACAGTCAGTGTCTATATTTACCATTTGTATACCTGGTGTTTAGCAGACAATTCGCTCTGTATTGAAGTGATAATGTCGTTCTTTATTATTGACAGTGACATATCAAATAACGCCATCAAGGTGCTGAGAGGGAGAATTTTTAGTAACGTATCCACCGTCAAAGAGCTGTGAGTTTACATTTTTCCTTTCTTTTATTTTACAAAATATTGCAAAACGTTTCATAAAACACAAGTATTTTCATGGCCCTTATAACTAAAATATTTTTCTTGAATAGTAACGTTTTTATACACAACCATTTGTTTAAAATGAGCCGGCGTTTAGAACTGTCTGCCATCTTCATCTGGGCTAATATGACTGGTTCACTGTGCACTGGAGCTAGGTGTTACATTGTCTATCGTGTACTGAAGCTCAAAGTTACTGTAAGAAACAAACCTGGTGAAATTAGTTACGGATGTAAAATATTATTCTTTTACAGACACCTAGAGAACAACTTGATCTACTACATTGACCCTGATGCATTCAACGGTGTGACCCTGACGCTGCTGTCAGTACTCCGTGTTACTTATCTCTACAATTGATTTCATGCTGAAGATCATTTTTACAATTATTTGATATGTATGGTGTAATAGTGTACAATTTGTATAGTTAGATATCTTCGTGCTTTATTTATGATTTGTACGTAGCTTGTAAGAGCATAAATGTACAACAAATGTCTTTCATTTATCTACTGCTTTTCACGATTGTAGATCTAAGAAGCTTTGGATACCTTTGAACTAAAAAGATTCTGTTTTGTGTTTTTATTTACAGTAACCTCGACAACAACGCAGTGCTGACACTGGATTCAAACCTGCTGAGCACTCAGGGCAGTCTCAAAAACTTGTAAGTCTGATATTCTATTTGTGCACATCCGTGTTTATTTTTGAATGTGAATGATTGGAGGATAAACGTGAATACAATTGATTGTATGAAGGCACCAAAATAGTGTATTGATATCACATACTGTAACAATACATTACTAATTATATGTAACATGTATTATTTATCTATCTATCTATCTATCTATCTAATTGCAAACTCGACCCCGAAGGCAAATGGCAAGGTAACACGCAGTATGTAAATACTATCTTAGGTCATCGGAAAATATTATGAATTATTTTTAAAATATTGCATTTCCTTTTCCACTGCATCCACCGTACAGCACTTGCATAGTCTCTCCTGAACTGGTAGCTTTTTATAACGACTCAATAAAGTAGCTCATGTGTATAAATTTCGTTACAACTAAATTTCATTTCTACTAAATCAAAGTTTAATTCTATTATGCATGCTAATCAAATCTGTGTTTTTCATATTTTCAGGTCCATGGCAAATAACCGACTTCAGCGGATACCAGATGGATTCCTAGCTTCCCTTGTGCAGCTGGGCACACTGTGAGTTTTCAAAATTGAAAACCAACCTACATTTGCAGCAAATTCATCTTATGAATGGTTACATCAACAATGATATTACACAACCCTAGGTTGCTTTTAATTGATTATAGCTCAATATGTCATTTGCAATAAAAGTTTATTGTTTCCTTTGCAGATCTCTGTCGGGGAATATGATTGAGATGTTGGAGTCGACCACATTCAACAACCTCGCAAGTCTTGAAAAACTGTAAGCACCAACACAGCTAGGTTGAGACTCAAATTTCAACCGCCTGGTGCAACCATTCATTATATTGTCATCCGTAACAGAACGTTGACCATTGAAGAATAGCTGTATTCCAGAAAGTTCATTCGATATACCAAGAACGTTATAGTGGAGAATCTTTGAATATACATATGATGTAGTCTTAGGACAACGTAAAGACCACGACTAAATCTAGTCCTCTTTGGAATAATGCTAGTCTTTCAATAGGAGTTGAAGTACTTCTGTTGAGTTTCAAGTTACTTGCTTTTACCCCTTGCACATTAACGTTTGTCTTGTTGCTACCATGTTTATGACAATGACTTTGAAATGTTCCAGTGACCTATCCAACAACAGAATCCAGTTCTTAGCAGACGGTGTATTCAACGGCATCATGAACAACGCACGAATCGAGATGTAAGTCCTGCTATCGAAAGACAGACGTGATACTTTGAAAAATGTTCGCGATCAGCTGTCATTGCTGACATAGTTGACTCAAGGTCCATTCATCGTAAAATTATCTTATTGTTAATTTTAAAGCACGTTTCCACACCATACTACCAACGTAACGTAACATGATATTTTTCAGTGACCTGAGTGGCAACCCTCTAGCCTGTAGCTGTTCCATGGTTACTATGATGGCGAACCTATGGAACCTCACTACCATAACGGGAGGGGAGTGCGCTACCCCTGCCCAGGCAGCTGGCGTATCCTTCATCTCATCACAAAGAAATGCCAGCAATAACTACTTCCTATCCGTGTGCCCTGAGACTTTCGTTTGTGGTGAGTAAAAAATTTATCATGCGCTCTCTGAGTTTTTTTCAATGTATGTATCGTTATGTTTACCTTCGCAGAAGAAAACATTTTATTGCTCTGTTTCCTCTTCTTCTCCAAACAAAACCAAAATTCAATGACTTGGACCAGACGTCTAGACGTCTATCACCATGGTAACTGGTGTTATAGCAGGCAGCCTGTGGTGTTGAATTACATTATGTGGCAAGTTAGTGGGGCTGGTCACCATATATATGGATGTGTTTGAGAATTAATAAACAGAGTAGTATCATGAAAGTTCATGGAAGAGTAGTGGTTTGTTGAGCTAGACTATGTGAAGGTAAAGATTATGCAGTGAGTTTACAAATGTTAAGTTTCTCGTTTTATCACACTGAATCAACAGTGATTGCCAGTAGGTACTCACAGGTGTGAGACGATCTCAACATACTTTGCATTGTCTGATAAACAGGTAAGAGTTCGTTTTACCCTTTACAGCACCGGAGAATGTGCAACCGGCAGCCTCAGGACAGAATGAGATCACAGTCTCCTGGACACCCCCAACCATCCCGTACCCCTCTCACCCTGAATTCGACAAGTATACATCAGGATGTAGTCCTAGAGACAACGTGACCGACAGAAGCTTCTGGTGAGTGGACCTTTACAGTATTATCCTGTTCATGTCACAAACCTATTATGTATGAAAGGGCCGGGGTGCTATAGTGTCGCAGAAATGAAAAGAAACCTATCTACAATGGGTATTGCTGGACAGACAGAAAGCGGACAGAAAATGTCCAGACTATGCATGATGTACAAAATGACTAATAAACTGGAGATCGTACCAACCACTGAGTATCTAATATCAGCTCAGAAAATAAGAAGAAACAACCATGCCTTCAAATATCAGAGTTATCAACCGAGAGAGGTGCTCAAACACTAGTATTTCCCAAGAACTATCGTAGAGTGGAACTCGTTGACACCAAGTAATATAGCTAGCTGCCGCCGCGGCAAAATTTTTACGGCTATAGGAAATAGATTGACAAATCTGACTATTTTGTGAAATTGTCAGGACGTATGATGTGAACTGCACCAGTAGCGATGCACCAGACATCGCCGTAGATGGTGTCACGAACTCGTCAGTCGTGTTCGGAGCTGCAGACGATGTCAGAGCCGGTACAGACTACGTGTGTACGGTGATCCTGAACAACAACGGCAGCTACAGCGCAGTGGGGTGGCCGGAACCTGTCACAACTCTAGAGGACCTAGGTACCTGGTCTTAGAATCTGTTTCTTTGAACTTCATGAGTTTGTAAAAGAATAGCTAGCAGCATTAGAAGATTACCTTGTTAGTATTGCTCTTCATTTTAGCCTTTTACTTGAAATAACTGATCCTTGGAAAGCACATAGTAACTTCAAACTCTACTATTGGATAGATTACAATTTTTCCAGTTGCGTACATATAGATGTTGAATAGTTCTGTTAGTTCATTAGTGATGCTGATTAAGATTGGTGGATATTAGTAGTAGAGTTTGAATTTTCTATGAATATTGTTTACCTAGATGTCTAACCTTCACCACCTTTGATGATCACCATAACAAAGCTAAAAGGCACGAATTTCAGTCAATAAAAAGTACAGGGTGTTGGCTACCTTTCCATTAAATCATCAGAATTAGTATCAAAATTAGACACCTTAATGAGACTCCATTCTTGTTTTTCCATTTCATCCTCAGTGTCCGTTAACGGGACGGCGTCAAATGTAACAGATGACCTAGACCTGCCCATCACGTACTATGACTTCAGCGTGAACCACCCAGACTTCGACGGCACCAGACAGGGGGAACTGGGAGAACCGATTTACGTCAACAGTCCTTTTGGGGCATTTTTGGCCCTTTCGGGTATGTATGATTTACTATAAACAATCTATGGGACTGTCCGCACGAAAGAGTTAAGAAAAGTTACACATCATTGCATTGTAAGCACCCAAAGTATACACAGGAAATATAGCCTTATACATTATGTATCCAACGGCAATGTTAAACCGTCTGCTGAAAGATTATCCATTGACCACTAATTATATATCTTAAGTTCTCCAATGCCCACCAACGTAAGTCCTATTTTCATATTGCTTGTTCATTGACTATTCATTATCTTATTATTATTGTTTATTTAATTTGATAATTTATCGAGTAGCAAATTGCCTAGTTTTATCTCTTATTTTTACGTTTTTACCTTAATTATACTGTGTTTTGCATAGTTACGCTTTGATCATTATCATCAGCATTCTTGTATTTCCATTATTGTAAGCAAAAGGCTTCGTCCTGTTTCCCTGTCCAGGCACATTCATGTAACGAAGCTGAAATAAATAAAAAGTAGCAGCCTTTGTGATAACACATCATCTGTCGTTGTTCAGTCTTGTCACAAACACTTCTTTTTGTGTTTTATCAGACACCCCCGCTACAGACTCCATCTCTCAGTGGTTCGCGTCTGTCCCTAACGTCAACTACGTTCGACAAGCGACGCTGAGGCTGGACAAGCAGAACGCCACAGATACCTACAGGTACACTAAGTCGTGCTTATTTATTCCCTGCATACATTCACATAACACCGAACCTGGATGCAGGAAGAGATGGAATCATACAGGTAGTGGTGCAAACCAGCTTTCAAAATGGGACCCAACCTGCTGTACACGCCACAAGCAATCAAGGGCCTGTACTTTAGAACAAAGCTTGCCATCACAACGGACTGAAATAGGACTTATACTTTGATTTATTCTGAACATAAGTTCTACGTTATTTGTTTTATGTCCATGTAATTAATTTGTTTTATTGCTGAAGTATGTATCTATGTATGTATTCTTTTATGTCCCTAGATATTACAGCGACAGCTTCTTTCCCATGGACGGGCTGGGATACAGGTCGGAACAACAGAGAGACTGCAACAATATACTCCACAACTTTGGGTTAGTGTCCTTATTATAGTGTTTGGTAATGTCTTTGTTGAAAATACCGAAACACATTATTAGACTTACTCGATTATAACACTAAAGGCTTTCGCTAGGCTCCTGCTGTTTTAGTAAGTAGGATTTTTTAGTACAATGTTCAACAGTTTTTGTGCCATGTACAATTTGTCGTGCGGTAATTAGCTCTTCGTAGACCTAATTTCAGTGTCATAAATTACGCTTAACAATGCATACGTAAGACTGCAATGTTTGAGATGTGTACGGAGTAATTATAACGATGCCTTTAAGAGTACAGGAAAATTGCGTATGAAAATGCCACACAACACACACAAAATTACGATAAAGAAGAAGTAAAACTGTGATTTGATATACCTCTCACATTGTTACACAGATTTACCCTGGCTATTCGTGTGGCCATCACTTATACCGGGAACGAGATCATCACCGTCGGCGGTGGGGACGAGCTCTGGTTGTTTGTTGACAAACAGAAAGTTGTTGACCTACGGCGACAGAAGGGTGACGGTTCTACAAACACCGCGTGTAGGAAAATCAGTCTACTTCCGGCTAAGGAAGATGGTAAGATGGTTACAAGTCTGGCGAAAGGCCTTCCTCATCCCTTGTACTTAGACACATAAGTGTACTATGTTGCTGCTGTTACCACTATTCTTGTTGTTATTGTTGACGATTTGTTCCATATTTTAGGTGGAGGGAGTATTGTGCCTGTTTCCGGGAATGTCACAGGGGGAGAATGTGTTCCAGGAAATAGTGCATCGAACGATACCGTGGCATTGGACTTGACGGTAAGATCAAATACAAAGGTTGCAATTCCTCCCGTATAATGTATCAACATCTAACAGATACTCCAGTGGGGAAAGACATTCAAAAAAGGTTGTACTATTAAAAGAAAGACCTGGTATGATACTTCAATGTCTCCTGTATCCTTAGTATTAGCATAGAAAACATATTGTTTTCCATCTGCTTCTTCTTCTCGAAACACAAAGCCAATGACCTGGACCAGACGTCTGTCACCATAGTAACTGGTGCTGTAGCAGACACCCTGTGGTGTTGGGTTACATTATGTAGCAGGGCAGAGCAATAGGGGCTGACCACCATATACTTGAAACAGAACCCGCGCAGCCAGCGTGAACGCAACGCGCTTACCGCTGGACCCTGCCGCTAGGCTAAAATGCCCTGACCGGTCAGAAGCGTCAGTTGGTAGCACTTGAAAACCCACTGTTGCATACTAGTATATCATAGTATATTACGAATGTGTTTGAATGAGAATAAACAGAGCAGTAGTTTGTAGTTCCAGGCCATGTGAAAGTTAACATTACGCATTTTGCTTTGCAAATGATACCTTTCTAGTTTTATAGTCGTTTTTGTGTTCTTTCAAAATAGGTTGGAGAAACTTACCACTTTGTCCTGTTCGTGGCTGAGCGGGAACAGTGCGTGTCCTCCCTGTTCCTGGAGATTTCCGGGACGACCTTCTCGTCACAGGTGATTGGCAGTTCTGCAGACGGTGGGAGCAGGAGGAGACGTTCTGCCGACGTCAGCGGATACCCTCTGGACTACGAGGTGACCGTACGGGAGGACCTGCATGTGAACGGCACCGTGCAGACGGTAGTTGTGACCGACATTTTCTCTACAGGGCCATTCTACAATGTGTCCATTCTAAAAGGTGCGTGCACATTTAGCGACTGTTTTTCAATGTATTTTGTTTTATTCAAAATAGCAACAAGACAAAGTGATGCTGCACTCGAGTTGTGCAACTTATCTTTCCAGCGCCACTTGACAATATACAAGTGTACATATAAATACAAACTTTTAACAATTCATTGTATTCCAGGCATCTAGTATATCTTTTTAAAGATCTAAAAATCTTATGATGTTTTCTTCAATTTTCAAGTGTCATTATTTTTGTGTTTTACGATGTTTAATGTATACCCATGGAGATAAATTTATATTCTCTGTAGATGGATTTGTATTGTGTATTCCTTTTTCTATACATACTTCTTTATCAACCTATATGCTGAGACCGTACATAGAGGCTAACCTACGTTTTAGCTGTTTGGTAAATTTCATCTAACCTTATCATATTAACGCATGGGTTTGTCTACTAAAATTTGTATCTTCAGGAAATGAAGCTCGCCATTTTACGATCAAAGAAGACACCCCCGCTAACCGTCTGGCGGCCGTCCCGCCGTCCCCCGCGCCCCTGTCCTGGGTGACAGTAGAGGGGCTGTCGTTTGTCACCTGTGATACCGAGACACCGACCCCGGCACCCGACCCCAACATACCAGGTGGGGGGTTCTTACTATACTATGCTGTTGTACGTTAAAAACGTCTAAATATTGAGTTTACAATAAGTTTCTGACCAAAACGTATAAGAAATTTATCCATTTATCTAAAAACATTTTATATATGTGAAAAATTGAAATGAAAAATTTTCCAAATATATAAAATATATTTTATTTCAAAAATGTATTTAATTTCAACATTTATTTTATTTATTCATTTATTTATTTATTCATTTTCTAGATCAAAGGGAAAGCAAAGGGTAATGAAAAAATCATTTTACGACTTAAAAACCTTAAACACAGCCTTACATAGGTAATGATGAACTTGAAGCAACTAATCGAGAAAAATACCTAAAATATGTCTTATTGTAGGTACGGAATCATTCGAAGTGACCACAACAACTGTCTTGTTGAGTATTGATACTGAAGTGGATTATGAGGTTGCCCAGGAATATACACTGATACTAGAGGTACAGGATGACGGCGCCTCACCACCAAGGACAGGGACAGTGGCTATCAAGGTACGTTTATACTTCTGCACATGCACTATGAAATAGTCTAACAGCCGAAAAAACAGTTATCTGTTCATTCCGCATCATCGTTAAATCGACTATAAGTATAACACATCAGTCTTACACAGTTAGTCTAGGAAAGCCCAACCAAGTATTTGCCAAAGAGAACCGTTTGAAGTGGAGTTAAAGCAACCATCATCAAGTTTTGCGATATTAAAATAGCTCGCCCAATAGACCGATCCTAAGCCCCGCCCACCTCCGCCCATTGGTCAAATCGCTAATTGCCGTTCTCTCATTGGTTGAACTGTTAATTGTGATGGACATTCAGGATAGGTCTATAAACAATCCTTAACAATGTAAGGAATCTCAGGAAATGTCTTGCTACCCTTATGAGCATTTACGTCTGCAGCATACTCAATGCAATATATGCAAGAGCAACATTTCAAGATTTTCCCAGTCGTAACTCACAGAAAACTCAAAGATTTTTCTCAACCACTTAGATCTATATAGAAGACGTAAACGACAACTGTCCCACACTAGAGGAGACGATGTTCACCCTTCATCCTCAGCCTGTGCTCAGACTGACGCCCGTGTTGTCTTTAGTGTGGGAGGACAGAGACAGCGGTGACAACGAGAACACTACATTCCACAGGACACAGATCAACCAAACGTATGGAAGCAAGACCTTCGCCATTGAGAAACTTTATATTTGACGATTGGTATCACTGTATTAAAATCATGCACAAAAGATAAGATTTAATGGTAAATTGTACAAAACTACACTTGGAAAACATATTTTTTTTTCAAACGGTGTAATCTTGTAGAGATCATATGTTGTTTTTCTTTGCAGAACTATTTATGACAGCAGGAACGACAGCACTCTGTTAGAGTTCTACATCATCGTGGTCGACAAAGGGACGCCGCCCCGCGGGGACATAGCAATCGTTGCCATGACGATAAACGACGCTTGTCTCTATGACAGTTTGAACCAACCAATCACGTACGAGATAAGTGTGATAAGTGTGGAGGACGACACTGGTGGAGTGTTTGTTAGAGTGCCAAAGTATTACGTCAAAGAATTTGGTAAGAGTTTGTTTTTATGTCTACCTTCGCAGAAGGAAAACATAATTTGTTTTTGCTCAGTTTCTTCTTTTTCTCCACGCACATAAGGTCACTGGCCTGCACCAGATGGCTCTCACCATAGTAACTGGTGCTATAGCAGACACCCTGTGTTGGGTACATTATGTAGCAAGTTGGAGAGGCTGGTCAGCATATACATGTACACATGAATGTGAATTAGTAACAGTAAACAGAGGGATTCAATGTAGTTTGTTGTCAAATGGGAAGGTTAATGTAATGTATTTGCTTTAGAAATGCTACCTTTCCTTATTTGTTTTTTTTCTCCTTTCATTGGTATCCTTTGTGCACTAGCTTTATATGCTTCACATGGGACATTTTTCTCGTCATTATGTAGAATGCGGTGAGCCCCTGGGCATGCAGAGCGCTCTGATCTTCTTCACACAAATCACCGCCTCCTCGGCGTATGAATACTACCAGCCGCACTACGGCCGGCTGCACAACCGGCCCACAAATAACGACACCACGGGGGTGTTCGCACAGGGCAACTGGAAGGCAGAGATTACAGATGCGAATCAGTGGCTACAGGTGGGAAGGATTCTCAGATAGTCTTATTCTTTTTTTATCTGTGACTTTACAGGTCATCTAATTTTTCTAGCTTCGTCACAACTTAGCGTTTACCTCTATGTCTATGAAGATGTCGTATAGTCAATGCCATATCAAACCTATGGTAGATGTCTTAATGCCATGGGTGCTTATTACCATAACTTTCCTTAGCCTAAAGTATGTCTTGATAAGGACATCACATTTTGCAGTGCAACGTTAACAATCACTATTAACACATTTTGCAAAGTAACAATCACTCTAAATGATCGTGGTTACTCAAGAACCTGAGGTTCAGGGTTGCAGTAGATTAATGCTAATATTATGTTTCAATTTCAGCTTTCTATTGAATTGGTTAAAACTTATAGATTTGTTTAATTCTTTCAAGTCTGTTCAATTAAGATCTGTCCTCAGTGGCTCAGCCTCTATACTATGTTTTTATCATAGGTGTCTTTCTTGAAGAGACTATCGTCACCGGAGTGATCTTACAGGGGAGTGCAAATGAGGAGGCCTGGGTACAGACGTATTACTTGACATACCTGAGTACCGGTAACGACACGTGGAAGACATACATGGAAGGAGGAGTACGAAGGGTACATAACTAGAGTTTACGTCTTATCATATATGTCATTGGTATAGCATATGCTATACTTGATTTTGCAAGTATTTGGTGCATATTGGCAAACGGATTTTTTGTGATGCCTGTCTTACGTTTGATGTTACCATTTTCAGCAAAAAGCGATATGGTCAGAACGATAGATGGTTCAATATTAGTCATTACGCCACGCGAACTAAATAGGCAAAGAGCAACTACGTCTTGCGTTGAAGTACATCAAGGATAAAGGACCAGAAAAATAAATTATAATCCTAGTGCGATTTGCGAGTAACAACTAATTCATTTTTCCCTTTGAAGGAATTCACCGGAAACACAGACGCCTCCTCAACTGTGCAACAAGATCTTACCGACCCCATCACGGTAACTAACATCCGGATCCATCCGCTGGCGTGGCGGGAAAGCATCAGCATGAGGATGGAGCTGATTGGCTGTACTGTGGAACTGCAATATATCCGTATGTTTCTATTTCTATGTCTATTTTGTCTATTTTTCTCCGATCGGGATCTCTACCGGTAAAGTCGCCTATTCTACCAGATCGGAGTCTCTACCCTGACATATACATTTCCTACAGGTAACACCCGTTGTGAACGCTGCCCTACTACCTACTACTGCCTGGGTGACGGGATGGCCAGACCGTGCGGACGGTGTGACCCTCCCTCCCCGGCCTGCGACCGTTCCCCTACCGAGCACTCGTTCGGTGGCGCCTCGGAGTGTAGCCCGTGTCCACCCGGTAGGGTAAGTATCATGACCCGTTCCGTTTCATAAATTCCCAGGAAATACAGACGCCTCCTCAACTGTGCTAAACATTCGTGGGTTTGAGTGTTAGGGTACTCGCGGTTAATAAACTATTACAGAATATCTCTTCGCCGTTAGAAAGAAAGCTTATGATACATAAGTCACCAAGGTGACCAATTAACTGAGTCACACATCTTCATCACGTTCACACTCACGCCACTCAACTATTCCCATCTTGGCCCCGGCCAGCTTTTGTTAAAAGCAATTTGTTTTTCCCGCATTCTACAGATTTGTCAGGACGGTTATGCATTCAACTGTTCCAGGTACCAGTATGCAGACCCGTGTAACGACACTGTAAGTCCCATACATTTGTACATGGGTGATTTCAATTAACACATGCTTCTCTCTAAAAAGCAGTGCCATTAGAGTGCCATTCGGTAATCGGGATTAGTCGAACTAGTTATTTTTGTCAACTGATCATCATGAGATAAAAAACATAATTGCGCGTCACAGGTGAAGAGATTAACATATGGGCAAACCCAGCTTGTCAGTAGAACTGTGCATTTGGTAATAAAGATCAGAGACCACATGTAATGATTGAAATTTTGTTTTCGACCCTTCCAGTACTGCCCTCCGAGTTGTACAGACTGTGAAACTGGGTACGCCTGTCTGTTCGGGAGGAAGACATTGTGTCGGGCAGGGCTGTTTGGAACAGGAGTCACAGGTTTGGAACTGATCCTTTTTTCTTGATTGGTTTGTTGGTTAACGTATTTGATTGTTGTGGTATTAGCTATTACAGAGTTTTGCTTTGCTGCTATGTGGCCGCATGAAATTTTAATTAGATAGCCACACGATATTACAGCATGCGTTCCATGCGACTTTTACACACCTTACACACGAGTTTTAAACGCGATCCACACGAGATTTACACGGATTTCGCACGAAAAATAACCGAGTTGAAAACGTGTGTCACAAGCGTGTAAAGGGAAGTTATACGAGATTTGTACTATAAATAACCTAGTGTCTGATCTTCCTTACCTGTAGACTTCTGCCAGCCGTGTGCGCCCGGGTCCTACAACAACCAGTCGGGCTCGGCGGGATGTGACTGCTGCCCGGCAGGGTTCTACAGCACCAGCGGCAAGACTGAGTGTGAACCCTGCCATCCCTTCACCTGGTCCCGGGGAGACTGCACGCCGTGTGTGGGCTGCAAACCGGGCGAATGTACGTTATTATCACCGAACTATGGCAGCTCTGCTGGTCACTGTTACTTGCTAATGATTTGCACAAATTCACCTGCGATTTCTGCGCTACAAAACTGCTGCATAGTTCACAACAGGTGCTAGTGTCATAGCCACTCAGAAAGTTACAAGGCTCTAAAAACCTAATCAAAAGCCCATTATCGAATATACGTTATAATTACTGAACTATGGTAGCTCTGTACTAATGCTTCTATTACTTGCTAATATTGTGCATGAATTTTACCTGCGATTTCCCTGCTACATATATAAAGTAGCGTAATTCACAAGTATCAGTGCCATAGCCACTCACAAAGGTATAGGCCCTGAAATTCAACGAAATGCCCATGATGCTTGGCAGAGTTTTTACCTTTTTCACAAATCAATCGTTGGCGCGCGCACAAAAACTTATAGAGGAAGCGACAGTACTGAAATCACGAAAAAAAAACTATGCTAAATTGCATTTAGATACAAATTTGAACGTGCAAAGAAATTGAGATCTTGCCATTTATTTGCAGGCCCTTGCATGGATCGTGAACCTTGTTATGAAGGAGTGACCTGTCAGAACATCGACAGCGCCACCTTCCGGTGTGGGCCCTGTCCTGCAGGCCTCAGCGGGGACGGCGTCACCTGTGTGGACATAGATGAGGTGATTAGTTGCATCTTATATTTTCCTAAACGATTATTAATATAAAGGATAAATAATTATGATTCAAGCAAAGCTCCTCAAATACAATCCTCCTAAGTAATTTTCTCAGTTGAATTTTATCTCCCTGTCAGATTGACGATAAAACAAAATAATTCTAGGAAAAGAGGAGTATTTCTGAAACTTTGTCTGTTGCTTAACAGATATCTTACTGTAACATTATATATGTGTGATAGACAGAATGTATTACTACACATTTTGAACTTTTGACGTTTCTTTGCATCACAGTGCTCCTTGGCAAGCCCGTGTTTCGCCAACGCCACATGTGAAAACTCGAACCCTGGGTACGAGTGCGGAAAATGCCCAGTAGGCTACACGGGGGAGAGTTCCCATGGATACGGACTGGAGCATGCGCAGAACAACCCGCAGGTGCTTTGCTATTATTTTGACGATATCACTGTAATCACATTGCAGATTCTACACTACAAGCCTCAGTTCGTTTTAGTGACGCTGAAGAAGAGTGTTAGCCTGGGTACCGGATTTTGCTGCGCTATGCTAGAAACAATCTAGCGTATACCAGAGCAAACTCCGGATGGTACCAAGATAGAAGAGTATCGGAAACGTCCAGAAATTATCTACGTAATTCATCGAGTCAACGTTTACCTTACAAGACTCATTGTTTGACAGTAGGTAGATTTCTCATGCAAATCGAACTAGTAAGCAAGCTACTCATCGTTTTCAGTTGAAACTGATGCCAAATAATGTTAACAGGTTTGCTTGGACATTGACGAATGTGACGTAGACAACGGTGGATGTCACGAGTTTGCCGAGTGTATCAACACACCGGTAAGTAACAGAACATTTAAGTTGTTCTCTTAAGGCCAAGTAAATTTGATTATAAGGATGATATCCGCGCGCGCACGAATTTTCGTTCGTTTTGAAAAAAAAAAACGTTTTCGGTCATAGTACAAATCGTACAAAGCAGCAAATATATGCCGTAAATTGCGACAAAAAATACTCTAAAACCGTACTGTTGTAAAATACCCAAAATCAATTCCAAAGCAAAAGAAAATCAGTGTTATTGTTGTTTGAGAAACTTTTTTTGGCAAAATATTTTTTTCGTTAAAATTGCATTGGATGCCTTTGATATACAGATACTTACAAAAATTTTAATTTTGTCTTCCAGGGAAGCTACAGGTGTGGCAACTGTGTGGAAGGTTACATCAGTGACATCTACCTGGGCTGCATCCCGGAAGACTTGTGTCAGCTCGGCAGGCACAACTGTAGCAGCAACGCCACCTGTCTGTCTCTGGGGAACGGCAAGTTTAGATGCGAAGTGAGTACATTTGTGTTTAATGCTACATTATTGATTTTGATGGGTGTTTAAGTAACTACAAATTATTGAACTGCATTTAGCAAAGTAACACTTACTCAATAACTGGATAATTTGTCAAAATCTATCCAGTTGTTTGAGTAACTAATTCTTTGGTATCTTATTACCTAGACGTCTATTCTAAACGTAAATTCTGTCCACCAGAACAAAACTTTGTGGTCAAACATTTGGAAGTGGTTTGCATTAAATTTAGAATAAAACGACACAATGGAACCAAGTACAAATGCAAAATGCCACGTGGATGTAATCTCCAAGCAGATTCATTAGGGGACAGGAGACGATCAAATTGGCCACCCGAGTTACCAATTGCGCCAACTTAGTATATTAAAACTCCCCTTGCCCCCGAGAATCTGCTTGAAGCCCGAGATTGATGACTAAACATGCAAAATGTTACCAGAAATGGCCTATGACTTAAAAAAATTACGTATGTTCCGCGAAAGGGTGATTCTGCAACATGTCTTTTTCCTTGCAGTGTGAGACCGGACAGGGCGGGGATGGATACCGGTGTAGCAGGGACACTGACCAGGACGGCTGGCCGGACGAACCGCTGTCATGTCTCACTAGGAACTGTGCACAGGTTGTACTCATTCAACTACACACCTATCTGTGACAAAGCTTCATCTTCTTACTCTTTAAATCTCTGTTTTTCTTTATAACATCGTTGTTTATTCCTTGATCGTTGTGTGCTTCAAATTAAGCATTATCAAAACAAACAAACTGAATACACCTGCATATAAAGTTGTACTGACGTCTAGTGATTGAGTTTACAAGCTTATGACAGCTTTGTGAAGCAAGTTTTAGCTGTGATTTTCCAACAAAAGAAATTTTCAATGCCTGGAGTTATACAGTAGAATAAAATGCAGAGGTCCAATTTCCTATGTTGGAAAATTACAACTCAAACTTACCAACATGAATGAACTTTCAAGATAAGTCTATGAGTGCTTTAACTAATTCATTTTTGTTTCCAAGACAATAGGTTCTAACCGAAGTTTCTTAATGCTTTACTGTACTCAGGACAATTGTCCCCTGGACCCAAACAGCGGGCAGGAGGACAATGACGGGGACACCATGGGTGACGTGTGTGATCCTGATGACGACAACGACGGGCGGATGGATACTGAGGTAAAAACAGTAAACCGTCAAGCATATGTGTGTAACCAGGTCGTCACACAAATTGAACCATAACATGGCCGTATACGTACGGGACGATGCATGAACAGCGTCTAACCATACATTATAGAAATACTGAACCTTAGTGAGACATTATATTGCCCTTTGACAATTGTTTCGCCTGACAATTAGCCTTTAAATTGAAGAAGCCTGTAGAAAATTGCAAAAGCTGATTTTATCACATCTTGCTCTTGGCTCATATATGTGTAACTTTTAGGCACATAAACCCGTAAAATGTTGTAAGAATTAAAAAAAATCCTAATTACTGTAATTGTTTTTTGGTCTTTTTCTAGGACAACTGCATCTTTGTCCACAACTGGGACCAAGTAGATGCAGACGGTGACGGTTACGGTGACGCATGTGACACGTGTCCCGGCTTAGCCAATCAGGATCAAACTGATACAGACGGTGATGGTGTTGGAGATGCCTGTGACAATGATGATGATGGCGATGGTAAGAGGTTATCAGTATTCATACATATCATAACAAAGCTTGAAATGAACATATCATATGTGGAGTACAGTAACTCATGTGTATGTACCCGAGGAAAAACTGTAAAGAATATACACTAGCATCACAATGACTATACTTTTTATCAATCATAATGAATCGCATGAATATGTGATTGGTAGATACTACAAGCAAATACTAGTACATCTATTTATCTCAACGAGCTACCAATATCATGAAATCCTTCATCGTACGCTATGTTACATTTAACGGGTTTTGATGACGCCAAATTTGTGTGCCCTTCATTTTCACAGGTTTTGATGACGCCATTGATATGTGCCCTTAGTTATTACAGGTTTTGATGACGCCATCGATATGTGCCCTTCATTTTCGCAGGTTTTGATGACGCCATCGATGTGTGTCCCTACGTGAACGACACGCAGGCTGACGCAGACGGGGACGGTGTGGGGGACGCCTGTGATAACTGCCCTACCGTCCACAACCCCAGTCAGGCAGATGCCGACATGGACGGGTACGGGGACGTCTGCGACGTGAGCGACAAGTAAGGCTTCTATCTACATGTAGATCCGTTATAGGAAGAGGCTGATTTGGCAAACACAAAAGCCAAGAAGAAACCGACAGTAAGATGCTCAAATGTGAAAAGACGAAGGTGACTTGGGGATGAAATCTTGTCTTTTGAGCCATCCATGGCTTTTAAAAAAAATACAATGTAGCAACATATCTGGTATGTTGATGTGTTGCACCATATTCTGTTCATCTGTAGTGCTTAACGACTGTTACATACTTTCATATCTCCATCTGTATTCATGTTCTAACAGAGATGGCGACGGTGTTGTCAACACTGTTGATAACTGTCCAGATATCACCAACCCTGAACAGACGGACACAGACGGTGATGGAACAGGTAACAAGAAGTAGAATTAGTAAATACATGAATCTCATTGATAAGAAATCATTTCAAGTAGTTAGATATTGTGTTTTTGCATTATAACTGAAAGGCATGCTATTGATAATGTATATCTGGAATGCTGAACTATTTATTACACCTGATGAATTTTTTTTTGTTTTCTGTATCTTCTGCCAATAGGTGACGCATGTGATGACGACATTGATAATGACGTCATGCCGAATAACCAGGACAACTGTCCCTATGTCTCAAACCCTGGCTGGGAGGATACAGATGGTTAGCATCCAGTTTTGTTTGTTTGTTTGTTTATTTGTTTGTTTGCTTCAAATATTTCAGGTATGTATCTCTATGCAGTAATTCTGGCATTGTGCTTAAGATGGCGTCCCTCTTCTACTCTCAAAGCAGAGGTATAGGCTTAGGCTTAGTAACTATAGATTTTTGTCGTTTTATCTCTTTTAATTTCTGGGCAGATATCTTTTTTACGCAAAACAAAGTAGATGTTGTGGCGTATTTCATACTGTCCTGTCAATGATACTGCCTTGCCAATTTGATATCGTCTTTCAGCCTTCAAAGATCTGCTTTGAGGTTACCCATGGCCATCTTTACCCGTCTCTATACCTTTGGTAACACAATTGTGTGAAAACTAAAGTAGGGGTTAATCCAATCATAGGCAATACCCTAAAAGCCTTGAAACTTGTCGTGTGACTTTTTAACTAGGTAACCATGTTGGTGACGCCTGTGAATACGACTATGATGGTGACGGTGTCCCGGATGTTGATGACATCTGTCCCAAGCTCGCTAACTATCACGTGACTAGCTTCACCAATCACGTCTCCGTAAACCTTGCTGGTGGGACCGCACCGGATTGGGAAATAACAGACAGCGTAAGTAAGATGTCCATTTCAGAAATGTCTTAATACAATGTCGAATGGTTCCTCACAGAAAGTTTCAAAACACAGTTTATGCTTTCACATCTCTATACAAAAAAGTACAATCTACGTTTGTGAGGTCTCTACTACGCAACGTCTAAGCACCCGAAGGAAAATGTGAAAAGATTTACCCTACATTTAACGTATATGTATTTTCTAGCACGTACGGTTATTATACACTATAGTTTCAACAATTCTTGCACGTATTTATGAATATGAATATTATTATAATTACCTGTCAAGGATGAAAGTTTATGGTTGACGCTTTGTCCACGTTACTTCACAGGGAAGAAATATTCGTCAACTCAGTGGCACAGACAGCCCTATACTATTAATTGGTACGTATATAACAGAACATTATACACCTTTAACTATTTCCATAACTCAATAGAATAGAGGAGAAAAACAAATCATATTTGATGTTGTATTTTGTCATATCTGGAGAGATTTAAGCTTGTAATAGTCACAAGAATTAATGATAAACTTGCACTACGAAAAAAACTGATAAGCTTGTTTGCTTTTCCCGCAGGTAGGGACAGTTTTGGGCCTGTAAACTTCACGGGAACCATGTTCATCGCCGAGGACTCTGGGAACGACTTCATAGGCTTCGTGTTTGGCTATCTGAGTAACCGGAAGTTCTACGTCGCCATGTGGAAACATCAGAACGAGAACGAAGAGGGTAGCATTAGCATTGGTGGAATAAAAGGCCTTCAAATCAAGGTAATATTGAATGAGATTTGTGTCATTGATGATTACGGGTGTCTTCATTCTGAAGAGTTTGTCAGAAACTAATTTTGTCGGCCATTATTAGTATTTCAAACTATTTTTAAGTTTCATAAAATTGAATCAGATGCAGATGCGTTTATAGTAAAACTTTTGTTCCAACACAAGGGAAACTTTTCTCACCTAGATTTTGCCTGATACCTTTGACCCAGTGGCAGTGTTGACATCACACATCAGAGAAGCCATGTGACTTGTATCGCTGGGTCAGTCTATTGAAGAAGACCAGAGTGACTGGTCGAAAGCTCTAGCTGATACAAATTTCTCTTGTGTTGGAACAAACCTGTTGAAAGAACCTGTTTAGAGGAACCTTTTGAAGGTCTCAGTAACTTTATCGACTATTTCTACAGCTCGTAGATTCTACAACAGGTCCTCACACAGATTTAGCAACGGCGCTGTGGCACACTCACGACACAACCAACCAGATCAAGCTACTGTGGCACGATCCAGACATGCGCGGCTGGGAACATCGCACACCGTACACGTTTCACCTCATACACCGGCCGTCAATAGGTCTGATTAGGTAGGTCTACTTATTTTCTACGATGTCTTTAAGAAAGCTGTTGGGAAATATGCATTATATTGTTATGCCACTGTAAATAGAGGCATCTATTATATCCATAACCGTGCCTATCTACTAGTATGCCTAATCATATGCTTGAATGTGTTAAGGTCAGGATCGATCAGGCGCGGTTCTGGATCGGTGTATTCAAGAACGTAGATTTGCCTCAGACACTATTCTGGATACACGTGGACTGTCCAGAGACGTGCCTGAGCATGGTTCTTTTTCAAATTAGTATTTACTAGTACCTTTATATTTTCTAAGCTCGCTAACTTAGTGGATGTCTGTGTATAGATGGGCTTTTAAGTTGAGAAATACATCACTACGTTTGTGGTATTTTTCAGGGTGACCATTTCTAACAACATGGAGGTCCTGACAGACACGGGTAACGTGTACGACACGACCATCCTGGGGGGTCGGCTGGGGGTGTTCCAGTACAACCAAGCAGGCGTCATCTGGTCCGACCTCCGCTACACATGCGGGGATAGGTGCGTTAGTAGATAGCTACGGATGGTATAAAAACACTTGTTGAGCTAATGATATCCATTTGCCACATGTACACAATCCTCGACCATAACCATCAGTGGAGACGTATTTATACTGTCTAAACAATGAGAAAATTGTTTCTAATGTTTACAAACTGTGCCTTTATAATTATGTTCTATATTATAATTTCTTAAATTTTATTACAGAGAGAATCAGGCACTGTACTTTGACGGGATGGACGACTATGTCGAGCTGCCCTCGATTATCACTCTGGAACTACATGACAGGTACCTTTCCTATCAATACTATTCATCTTTACTGTATCATATTACTATGCCAAATTATAACATAAGTTATATTATATTGTATTATTTTATGACTCTACCTCCAGTACCGTGCCCTTGACGTAGTGGATGGCAACCCACCGCCCATACGGCGTCAAAAAAGACTACGGGACTGATTTTACCACCTTGAAAGAATAGAACAAATTAGCTAGATACGCCACTGCTCATGGCCATAAGTTTCATAACACTAGAGCGCTACCGTCTTATTTCGAGATGGAAGGGTACCTACTATATTATGTCGTGAATTGGTACATTATGAATAATACTAAAGCTTTTTTTCCGTATTCCATTTCTTTCCCAATGAAAGCTTCACAATAGAAGGTTGGATCAGGCTGGGTGGGGAGGTGACGACCTCCAAGATGCCGATCATCTGTACCATGGACAGTAGACTATGTCTGTTCTTACAAAACAGGTACAACATAGGGCTAGATCTTTTTTCCCAATCAAAACCAAATACATAAAACACATCACTAGCTGACGAAGAAATAGCTTCATAATGGGTTTTTTTAGTCATGTTTACCTTCACAGAAAGAAAATAAATATTGGTTTTGCTCAGTTTCTCCAAACAAATAAAGTCAATGACCTGTACCAGGCGTCTGTCACCATGGTAACTGGTGCTGTAGCAGATACCCAGTGGCGTTGGGTTACATTATTTAGCAGGGCAGAGTTGGAGAGGCCGGTCACCATATATACAAATGTAAATAAGAATAAACAAAACAGTAGTTTATCTGATTGTCAGTCTCTGACTTAATATGATTCTGACTTCCAGATATCTAAGTGGCCAACTGTGCGATGACGTCATCCAAGGTTCCACGGAATTCCAGGAAAATACGTGGAGTCACGTGACGATGCTGTTTGACGCCCAACAGTACATCCTGTCCCTCTACATTAACGGTACACAGGAGACGGCACAGTCTGGTATCATGCCTAGAGACTGGGTACGACATTATTGAACTACATGAAGGATGTAGCCATGACTTAAAACAGTAAATTTTCTTTTAACACTATACGGTCAAACTACTTGTCCGATGATTTTTATACTGACCAAAGGCACTGAAACAGACCGTTTATAGTTTAAATTATATATTTTATTGTTACATATTAAATATTAAATATGTAACATATTAAATATGTAACAATGATTATTTAGACAAATTTTCTGGGTTTGCATGATCTATAATCATGAGCTCGAGATTCGGTCGTTTGTCTGATGCTTATGTGTTTTTGTTTCTGTTGCAGTCGAACAATGATACCAACTTGTACATCGCAAGGGACGAACATGACTTCTTCAATGGAACGTTAGACGAGGTACGGGTTCATTATGTATTATCAAAGACTTAACAATCTTAACAGTGCAACTCATAATATCTGAAAAAAAAAACAGCCATATTTCCTTATGTTTGTACCTTTAACTTCAGATCTATGCTGTTGCTCACATAATGATATCTCCACAGGTACGTTTATACGGACTGAAGCTTCTAGAAGAGGAGATCACAGAAGACCTACAGACATCAGGCAGGGAGAGGCAGTATCTTCGCCGCTTTCTTAACGCGCATTTCAACATGGATAGTGAGGGAACAAACGGTAATCTTTCCGTTCTGTTGGTTTAAAAAAAAGACATGTCCCTTGTGACAATTTCTATGGTTGTTTGAAGTGACTTTGCCCCCCCCCACCTACAAGATCAGCTGTAACGAATTGGACTTTTTAGTACCTTGCTAGCATATCCAAAATGACTTCCCAATAAGCATAAATAAAAGCTCAGCCAAGTTCTTCATGATGATTGGCCAACCCCTGTGTACACGTGACTAAAAAGAGGGTCAAATGTGCCTAAGCGTCTGTACCACCCTATCCTGGATAGTATTTGATGTCAATGGTCTATAAGTATCTCTTTCATCCCTTAAAAGCCATGTCACTATAAAGTGGGTCAAAGATACGGGAAAGTTGGTACCGCCTCCCGTCTCCAGACCTATCTATGCAAGAATGATTTATATCTTACATAATCAAATCTTTCACCCATACACACCACGTCACTATAATGTGGATCAAATGTGACTCGGGAAAGTCGGTACCGCCCCCCCCCCCGTCCAGATTTAGTGATGAATGATTGATTTATATTTTTCACCCCTCCCCAGCCACCTCCCTGTTGGACAGTGGTTTGTTCCAGCACCACGGCAGGATGATTGGCAGCCCGCTGTTCGTTCCCAGCACAGTGGACCAGGCCAGGTTTCAACTGACTTTTCCTAACGCCAGACGGAGGAGACGGAGGGACCTAACGTACTCAGAGTCACGCCATTCTGAGTTGTAGACACTTAGATATTCTCAGTTCTGTACATAGAAAAACTCAATTCAGTTCAACCTAGTTCATCTAGTTCCTGTGATCGGAACATTGGGAAGTTATAGTACTTCTATAGACATAAACAAAACGTAATCAGACAAAATGAGTGTTGCAATATCATACGTTTATCATAAGTTATAAAATATCATGCAATTTTGAGTGTTATGTTGCAATATGTTTACCATAAGGTATATATCAAATATCATGTTATTTACAAGAGTTGACTTAACAAAAGTTGACTTGCTAAATTAACCTAACGGAACATGCTGCAAAGATTATTGTATCAAATATTTTACTTAAGATATGACGTTTGTGAGAATGTACTTGCGTTGTGAAACCTTAAATCTTTTCCGAAGAGACGTCTAGGGGAATACTATGGAACTGCAGTAAGAAATGCGCATGGCTTTTGAAGTAATTACTGGATCGAATAGTATCTTTCTTGCGTTAGTTTAGTTTCTTTTAAGTCTGCTGAGTTACGATTACAAGACCTAGAAAGCTAGCCAGTGGACCCCTATATATGTTCAAGATATAAGAGCTAAGTTTCTGGTTTCAAACCATGAACTTCTGTCAAAAAACTGAATATTCGATGCAAATAACAACCTTCAAAGTGCTCTGCGAATTAAAATAACAAAATGACCTCCCCGAATGAAACAGTTTTGCGCAAATAAGGGCAGGAATTAATTGCTAAACGTACACAAAACATAACAAACGCCAAGCCCTTACTTTGGTATCAAATATCATTCTATATACGCCATGATCATTATCTCACCCCACCCTCTTCCCCGATCATGACCTCATTTTATCCGTCTGCTCCTGCAAATCTTCCCTCTTAAGCTGCAAATTAACTGGATCCGCCCGGATATTTCCCGCACATGTGACGGGCGTTGCGACAAAATCCTCCGTTGAAGGACCGGGTCCCTAATGGGTCCCAGAATGTCGTGAATGGCGCCTTATCTTCCACAGTTGCCGTCTACCCATCATACCGATACCGGTCTTCTTCCTGGCAATCTCTATGTGTATTTTGCACCCCCTTCACAAGAGAGATGGAATGAGCCAGAATAACACCAGAATAAGAAATTTTGCTATATCCTGGACTGTTCAAAGTGTTTTCTGAAAATTCCGAGTTCATTCAATTTCAGTTCTCCCTCGAGTGCGATGAGAATATTTGGACAGAATAGCTAGGAATATACCAAACTTTCAGACTCACTCCGCCTCTCGCGTGAATTGGCCGGGGGCCCCTCGGCGTAACCTGCTTCGTATCGAAGGACCTGTCACCCCCATTGTACATAATTGGTGACAATGAGTTGCACGATCCAATATTTGGCGGCTCCCGGAAAAAAATAATCGAAGTATCAAGGAAGACGAGGAGACGTCAAAGCCTTTCAAAACGTTATACCATCGTCGAGACGTCTCTTTCGTAAACCGTTTTGATGAATTACAGCAATTTTATTTTTATCCTTTCGTTTTCAATTTGTCAAACGAACCTATGTGTATCTTTTCCACTGTATACGAGTAGTCTTCCTGAATATCCATTTAACCCACATGGTACAGTGTCCTTTGATGTAGTATGCACCACATGGTATTGAACAACTTGCTAAGTCCGTAATTTTATCGAGGAATAGGTATCAGATCATACCAGATATCATATCAGATAATTTAAAGAGCTATAGCTAATTGAAGAAGATAGGATGTATATACTATAGCCTCCCACACTATTACTGTAGCTTGACAAATATATTCTCTACTTCTTGGCGACTGAATATGAAATTCTATTCTAATCCGAGCATTCAATTTCAATAGACTCAGGTGCTCCATAATCCTCTATACACAAAGTCTTTCACGTAATGAAAGAGATACAGATTTCTGAAGTGACGCCAAACAAGGATTTTATCTCTAACTGCTGTTCATCGCCTCGGGTGAATTGGCCAATGCACCAATCAGCGTCACCTTCCCCCGGACAGACGTAAATAAACCTCTGTTGACGTTTTTAAGGGCTGCAGAATATCTGCCAGGGTAACTAGTCTTTACCAGTCTTAAATCTGCTCTTCCTGTCTACCCATATCCCCTTAAAAGAAGACTAGAAATTTTGGAGAGGGTATAGCTACAACCGTCGGCGGATACGAAGACCAGAAGGTACGTTACGATTTCCCTTCATTGAAAACAGTACCAGAATACCTGCCAGTGGTTATGTGTAACTAGTCTATACCACTACCAGTCTCATTTTTCTGTCCAACCATATGTTCCTTTAAGAAAGAAAGACAATTTGGAGACACTACAACCGTTACTGTAAAGACCAGAAGACTGGAAGGTACGTTACAATTTCCCTAGATTGTTGTGAAAACACTAGCAATATCAGAATACCTACCAGTGGCGATGTGTGACTAGTTTATACCACTACCAGTCTAAATCTGTTCTCCCTGTCCACAATCCCCTTCAAAGAAGGATAGACATTTTGAAGACACTACAACCGTCCTCGCAAGACAGGAAGGTTAAACGTTAACGTTACTATCTTTCTGCATTGAAGTGTGAAAACGCTATACCATGGCGTCCCGTTAGATATGAACGTATTACGGTTGAATATTGGCGGCTTTTATCAATGTCATTACTCTCGCTGACATAAAAGTCAATACGTCGACTTATTATTCCTAACAAGGCCTTACGCTGCTACAGTATACGGTTTTCTAAGTATAGATTAAGCGTACAATGACATACTTTTGGAACCAACGTTAACAATATATTGGTGTCCGATGTTCTTGTGTATTGAAAATTTACCGTTCTAATTAAAAAATTACTCTATGTGTTCAATATTTGAAACAAAATGAGTACATGATACATAATACTAATGAAATACAGTAATGAGGTCATAATTATATATACCACCATAAATAATTAGCGTTGGCAGATACCATTGCAAATTTACCGTTCAAAACATTGCTAGATATATTTAGGTATCTTTCTTACCATTGTCATTGAAGGATGAAAGTAGTACCACATTACATTGTTTTTATTATATACGAGCGAAATTAAGAATACGAAATACGACTACCAATATTTCAAGATCAAGGTCAAAAGCAATAGCCTACAGAAACAGGCTTTAGGGGCTTTATTTTCCCCTTGAGACGTTTTCTGCTTCACTCAGACTGTAAAGTCTGGAGGTTTATAAATATTTCACTCAAAAGAACGCTTCAGTGGGAGAATAAAACTCCCGCGAGGTTCCTAATTCCCGGAAACAACGCGAGATTCCAGGATACAACGCGAGATGTGTGTAAGGCCATGTTGATTTGATTATATGGATGACATCCTCTGGGAACCCCCAAAACTGATGCGAGCGTGTGAATACAAAAAAGTTTGGCAAAAAAAGGTTGCTTTCATTATAAAATCTAAGTGGTCATGAATGTCACGAAGAAAGACAGGTAACATGTGCGTGACCAGATGTAGTGAATAATTACCTGAAATCTTGACCCAATGGGATGCTTCATTACACCTTACAAAAATTCAAATGTAACGGCTCTTTTTAAATGTCTAACAGTCAAATTTCAAACGAAAAAGTTAGGTAAGTTTGACAAAATGAACATACTGGTATTCAAAACTAACTCATGATTGTCCTCTAAATATTTCAAACTAATTCAAAACATTGCAATGATTGTCTTCTTTCATTTCATACTTACCAAAAGCTTAATACACACTCTTACACTGAAAAGTTATAATGCAGGCAGTACCCGTTAAATTGCACAATCGTTCAGTGACATTTCACTGGCTATAGTATTTGAAGTTCCTTGGTATTATCTGCTGATTCTAACTGTCGAAATGTCAGTTGATAATATTGGAACTCAAAATAAATTAAAACCCCTTAGAATACAAAATAACTATTGATTGGCAACGGCTATACCAACATTGGGTTAGTCCAAAGCAATGACGTTTTTGTTCTAAGAAGTTGCATATGGTGGTGCTTTGACCTAGATACAGGACTTATCTGATATGGAAGATGACCAGAGCGCCATGTTTACGTTATCGGAAGCTACTAATGGCTTTTCAAATGATAAGAGATCCGGACACTATCTAGAACATTTACTGCCTGTCGGAACTGATTAAGTCTACAGGAATCATAAGGCCTCTTTTCTCTTCTCACGGATTGGTCAGTTATAATTCAATAGATGTCACTGGATGACAGGCAAAAAAGTCCTGACTATGCATGATGTACAAAATGACTAATAAACTGGTGGATGTACAAGTACCTAATACCATCTCAGAAAAGGAACAAAAAATAGCTAGAGTTATCAACCAAGGATTGAGGTGTTCAAAAACTCATTTTTCGTCAGGAACTATTGCAGAGTGGAACTCACTGCCACCAAGTACAGTAGGGGTATCATCAATAGATAGTTTTTAAACAATGTTTAGAGTTAGATGTTGAAGGGTTAGGTGTAACAAGTCGTTCGGTGTAATGTAGCCAGCTTCCGCCACGCCGCGTGCCTGCGAAGCTGGTGTGTTACACCGAGAGGCAGTTATCCCGGCTATACAGATACAGATATGACATAAATAAAGCATGAACGGTTAGGACATATATCATAACGCAAAATGACTCAATTGCTTACCATTATAATTTGATTCTAGCCCTATGACAGGCCTTTTAGTAACTGATAAATGGCAATGCAACAGTCCATAAAAATGAACTGTAGATATCATAATAGCTATAAAACAGATAACATAAAAATTTTACCTTCATACCACATAAAATGCATAGCTTGCCTACAATTCTAAATCTGTTTTTTTTTTTCATCTAAAACAGAAATATAACATTTATAAACTGTGTCAGAGATATATAGTTTGATCACTACAATTCTACAGTCTGAAAAATAAAGTAATAGATAAAGTAATAGATAATAGATAAAGTTTAGATATTTTAATGACTAACGCATCAAGATTATACCTTACTATACAAGGTTTTACTTTTGTTTATGGCAAATGAATAGATAAAGTTTTAAAAATTACCTTCATACCACATAAAATGCAAAGCTTAACTACAATTCTAACTGCTTTGGCCATCTAAAACTGTAATATAACCTTTCAGACAGTATTGGAGATATATAGGATGATCACTGCATCACGTGATGAGACAATAAATGATTCATGTAATGACCTTGGGCACATGGGGGCTTATGGCGTGATCCATGTTGGTCACGTGACCACTCCTGGCTGTATCGTCTGCAACCGTTGTCATATGGAGAGAAATGAAATTAATCAGTATCAAGGCCGTTTCAAATATATATTTAGTTTTCAGGCATTACAAAAAGCACACACGTATCTTTTAGCATTTTTATCAATTCAATCAGTATTCCGGCCATTCCAGACTATGTATGATGTACAAAATGACTAATAAACTGGTGGATGTACCAACTGCTAAGTACCTAATACCAGCCCAGAAAAGGACAAGAAATAGCCATGCCTTCAAATATCAGAGTTATCAACCAAGAACTGAGGTGTTGAAGAGGGTATTTTCCAAGAACTATCATAGAGTGGAACTCGTTGCAACCAAGTACAGTTGGGGCATCATCACTAGCAAGCTTGAAAAATTAGGTGTAACAGGTTGTTCGGTGTTATGTAGCCTGCTGCTGTCGCGCCGCATGCCTGCCAAGTCTTAGCAGTATGTATAATGCCTGCCTACCTGCCTATGTGTACAGGCCAGGACCTGGCCCCTTGCTCCCCTTTGTCTGGTTTCTCCGGCCAGCTCTATAATAGCCTAAAGGAATATGCCCTGGTCTTATGTATGGGATTATATTAAACCCAGCAGAATCAATTTTTACTTGTCACTTAATCCAGGGGATTAACCATTGCCATGGGGATGGATACAATTGCCCGTTGCAATCAGAATGTAAAATTTATCTTCTGTTATCCCTGGATTACGTTCAATGATGCCCTGATTTGGGTTTTGGTATCTGATCGGTTTTTGCATCCATCTACTTAGTATTTATCAAACAGTGCAACAGCCTAGAGGGTAGGGCACTTGCTTTAGCCAGTCACACATAGGCCTCCCGAACACTGCTGAATTCCAATCCCAATCATAGTTAGGAGTACATGTAGGTCAGGAGCAAGGTCAACTGTGGTTGGCTGGTGTTTGGCAAGGTCAGCTACTGTTCTGCTGCACCAGCTGATGTTTTAAAATGTTTCAAACATCGGGTGTGGACGGGAGGTTGGGCCATGGTTTGCTGGTCGTTGGCTGGTATTCGAGAGTAGGTCAGCAGTTTTGGGGGCATATTTGGGGGTCAAATTTGACTCAAATTTGACAGAAATGTAGGCTTAGCCTAAATCTGGTCAGACTTTTCCCGAACTTCAGCCAACCTTGGATGGTTGGTGGTCGGGGAAGGTTCTGAATGTGTGACGGGCTTTTGCATTTCGTTCAATGTGATACCAATTGTAAACAGCTTTCTCTGCTTAGCACTCACTAAGCACTCACACACAACATGAGAGAGACTGAAGAATGTATTTTAGTGTTAACTTTGGCATTCTGATAAAAACAAGTTTATTTGTGAACTCATTCATTTTAAACTATAATGGTAAGAGACAGTAACATACCATAAAGATGACCTATCATCTAAAATGTAATAAAGTGGTTTGTGCGTCTTAGTAGCCTTATCATTATCATAAATGAGGTAGACTGTAAAATCACTATTTGTGAGTCTTTAAAAACACTGTTAAATAACCTTACTGATTCTAATACTGAAACTGAACATAAAAAAACTCAACTCAAAATAACATAACAGCACAGTTAGTAGAACAGGCCATAGTTTGAACCTGAACACAAGGAACAAGCTGTACGTAGTAGACTTGAACTTTTAACTTGAACCTGAAACTTTTATTATATTTCAAAAAGCAAATGGACAAACTGCTGGCAACATACCAGTAAAACAAAAAAAAAACCAATGCATCACTTGATGCAATGATACATGTATATTTCTTTCTTCGCTTGACATACTTACATATGTTACTTACTTAAACACCTTTCTGTAAGTGTCACTACATCATAATCAGGCTTTTGTCTTCTGTTTGGTCCACTTGGCACATATTTAGACTGGTCTCTACTTGCCATAACCTGTAGAACAACAAAGAAAAGGGATCAGTCAGTGAAATCCATAAAACCTCAAAAGGTTATTGAAACTAGAAAGGCAGACACTATCTCATCTCGGGAGCAAATACAGCATATTTCAGTCCATCTCCCTCCCCATAAAAAGGACTGTTTTAAACTCACACCTGTGCAAAAGTAGAGCATTCCAAAATCCAAAACGCCAGGGGATATTTGAACACTCAACCTCCATACCAAGTTTCAGGTCATTTGACCCAAAGATTTAAAGTTAAATGTTGTCCCATAGCCTTTTTCAGGGCATAGGGGCAGTAGCTTGTTAACCCAATGTGGTATTGGACTGCAGAGCCCATCTCTCTTTCTTCTACTGCCTTTTACTCACCCACTAAAATTGGGTACCCACTTTACACCTACATTGTAGGTTGAGTTAGAAAAGTCGAGTAAAGCAGCCTTTTCCAAGTACAAAACATCTAGCCAGGAATGCCCGTGACCTCTCAGCCTCATGTCTGCCAGCCTAACCATTCAGCCATTTGACACCACCAAAATAGATCTAATTTTGACCCAGTTTTGCTAAAAATGCAATGTTCCCAACCTAGAGTGACTGAAACAGTCTCCTTCTGCTCCTTGCGAACTTCCCGCATGATGTCCAGATTCCTCTGGCTGGACTCCTTGTGGTCAACCATTGGGCGAGGGTAGTCCTTACCCACAATGCACCCTGCCTTCTCCTGGACTTTGCGGGGGGCCTTCCACGGCTCGTAGATGTACTCCTTAGGGAAGTCCTTCAGCACTGGGAGGTAGTGCCTGTAAAATAAGAAAATAAACATGATTGACTTTTCCTTTTTCCTGCTTCCAAACACCAACAGAACACCTACACTGCAATTATAGTGCACCTGGAAGTGATCATAATCAGTTGACTTCAAGTTCAAGTCATACAATACTTCCCAAAAAACAGGTTGGGACATCCTCACTTCGGCAGAGTTGACATTTATTTTTGGGACAGTGCTGGGACAATAGGAAGAAAAGTTAATATCGAGGCCTGTACCATAGTACAGGATTAGTAGTAGCTATACCGGGTAGTACTTTTGACCAAACCCCACCTGATGTATGTCCCCTTTGGGTCAGTCTTCTTGCCGAAGACCACGGGACTGTAGACACGGAAGTACTGATGGAAGAACGCACTGGCGGACAGCCACATCCAGTTTCCTGCATTCAGACTCCAGTCTGCATCCAGAAGCAGCTCTTCAAATACCTGGGGATTGTCAGAAAGGGCAGTTGTATTAGGGCCAATCTTAAATATAGCAGTGTTCTTTCTAGTAAGCACACATCTTTTGTCTTTTGATGGAATTTGGGGAGTGTGTAAAGTGATTGGCACACCTTCATGCCCTCCTCCCAGGAGATCCAGAGGTCCCCTCTGGTCAGGAAGCATGCCACAGCGTGCCGTGCCAAGTGGTGGATCCACCCCTCCTTTGTCAGTTGGGTCATGACAGCATCGATCCAAGGGAACCCGGTTTGGGCTGTAAAGACAGAAAACAAAAGAAATTTCAAGAAAAATCACAAGTAACAAGTAACAGGTTGGTCAAACATTGTTTACCAGGGACCCAGTTTTGACGTCACACTTCAGAGAAGCCACGTGTCTCACTGGGTCAGTCTATTGAAGAATACCATAGTTACTGGTCAAAAGCTCTTGGTGAGAACAGTAGTTTAACTCTAAACATGTAACTACGTACATACCAACACAGATAAAGTTTCATGATAGGGGTTTGCTATGTTAGTTGCTTATTGGCATTTATTTCTATCTCTAAATGAGCTAAAGAAATGGAGAACTCCAGACGTAACCCACCGTTTCTCCACCTGGTGAGATGTTCACTGTTCTTGTTCCATGGGATCTGCAGACAGACCCTGTTGCCTGCCATCTGGCTGAAGTTAGGGGTGTGTGCCCCCGCCGTGTAGAAAAACTCCCTCCAGATCAGCTGGCCATGCAGGGATACTGGAGGCTGGGAGTGGTTCTTGGCCTGAAAAATATTTAAAAAAATCATGAAAAATTCTTAAACTTCCTAAAGTTACAATTTTTGCAGTTTCTGAGTGCCCAGAAAATTCAGACTTACCATCTGACAAGTAACCGGATGAAACATACCTTTCAAGAAAATATTGCTAGAGTAGAAAGTTAGAAACAATTCTTTGAAAGTACAGTCTACATATACATGTACATGTGTACATATACTGTACAGTTCTAATGTGTCATCTATTCCTACCTTCATTCATTTAACTGAACGTACTACTACTAGTAGTCATATTTGCTACCTTTGAGTAGATCTTGTCTAGTTCATGGTAGAACAGCCGTGCAGACAGACAGCCCACAGTTATGTATGGACTCAGGACTGTGGTGCTGGGGAGTAGGGAGTTGGGCGATGTCTTTGGTTTCTCAAATTTCAGAACCCAGGTCTGGAATTACAACAAAATGGAAATGGATTATTTAGATTAGATTACCAAACATCTCATTATGCATAATGCATAGCATGGCTCTATGTCAGCAAGTTTCATTCCTGTTTCAAACATGCATCAATGACTTTTCATAAAAATAGAAGAATAATTCTAAAAGAAAAAAAGACAAGTTTCCTTTGTGCCAGTTACTTTGGAGTTTCTCTCAAATCGTCATTCTCAGCATCTCTATAATTGTAAAAATTACAGCTTTATGATTTTCTAAACATAACGTTTTGCAAGACATTTTCTACCAGTAATTCAACAGTCTATTTAGTAGAAATGTGGGGTAAATACCCAAAATTCTATGACTGTTTCAATTTCTAGATGCTGTAAGAAATGACAGACAATACCAAAAACATGTAACATGTTTTAAATATGAAAGTGCTGTTGTTGTCTTTTGTTGGGAAGATAATATGTCAACAAAACTATACTACAGCGAAAAGAACTTGAACTAGAAGATACCTTGTCCTGCAGACTTTTCTCTAGTCTTTTTAGTCCCTCCGTTTCGCCTCCAACAAACTTGGCAGGATATTCACACCTCAATCCCAGCTCTTCTAGCGTTACCATATCAAACTTGTCATCTTGCAGGGCTTCTGGGGGGAGGGTACAGTTGGCAAAGTGCTCTGCCGTGGCTGTTTCCTTTTCCTTGGGAGGTTTGCCCATTTCGTTATAGACCTTTAGGAACTTCCTGTATGTTAGAGGTGGTGTTCCTCCGTTCCGCTCTACAGTCCTACAGAGAAACAGAAACAACAAGAACATTAAAACATTAGGGGGGAGTAGAAACACAAAAATGGCTAGCTCCAGGGAATCAAACCTGGGCCACCAGCTAGAGAACCTGGCCATTACCTACTCTCCAAGCAGAGGTGAGAGGGAGAGAACGTAGGATATTCCGACATGGCTAGCTAAGGGTGGCACATTTCCCTCTCTTGTGAGAGGGAAATGTGCCTCCCTTAGCTAGCCATGTCGGAATATCCTACGTTCTCTCCCTCTCACCTCTGCTTGGAGAGTAGCCATTACCCACCAACTGCTAGGCTAAAAGGTCCGAAACTGTTAAAAAGATCAGTTGGTGGCACTTTAAGATTAACCCCTCCATTAAACTGTCCCTACTTTTCTTTTTAGATTCGTCCTCAAATCTATTCTAGAAATGCTAGTAGGACAACTCTTGCAAAACTAATTTTACAGTATTGTAGTAAGTCTTATGAGTCCATAATAGGACTTCTGTTAACAAAGAAAGGGAATGTGACAAAAAGTCTTGGCACATAGATAACCTATAATTTATTATCATGATAAAAAAAAGGCATAAGTTGAGTATGACTACTTTAGCTACCTTCCTATATTATGGTTAGTAAGATGAGATTTCAAAACCTGACTTACTGACCTTGGTACTCGGTTTGGGAACATTTATTAGCATACAAGCAACAACTTGGAACAAAGCAATAAGACTTACATATCCTTTCATACTGAAAAACAATTCTTCTAATCAATTTGTGTGTACAATGACACTAACCTGTCAATGTCATACAGTGTATGTGCCACATGATTGACAACCTCCACTCTCATGTCAGACGCAATCTTCCTCACGGCCGCGTCCCGGACACGGTGATGAGGCTCCGTGTCCACGTCGTGTGTCAGCTGCGTGATCTGCCACTTCCCGAAGTGTTCCCTGAAGAAGTCTTCGGTATTCCCACGTACGACAAACAGTCGCAGGCCGTAGTTTCTGAGACGCGTGTCCAGCTCTTGGAGACACTGTATGACAATGACAATGAAGTTTATTGCATATTCATGCCCCAGTGGGGCTAAATGCACTCTTAAGTTACAAAAAAAGATTTAAGGCAAATGTTCTATCTATATCTAATTCTAAGCTGTACAAGTTTCTTCTCTCTTCTTTAGACATTTGTATACGAATTTACAGAGTTTTTCTAATACATCATGGTTAACTGAAGACAATATTTGTATGAATTATATTATCCTTTGTTAGATGCCCCATTTTTGTTCTAACTGTATTTCAACAACAAGGTAGGTCATAGATAGCTATAAAGTGGACACTCAACAATAAAGTGGACTTCATTTTCTATAGTATTCATCACACAAAATTCCCCTTAAAATCATTAAGGGGAGTTATCTACCTGTATGACGAATCGCCACCAGTTGGCGCCGTAGCGGATATCGTGCTCCCTCATCCAGGCCTGGTCCACCACGTACACGGGGTAAACATGGCGGGATGTGCGGAGCGCGTGGAGAAGCGACGGGTTGTCGTGGAAGCGAAGGCCTTTGCGGAACCAATGGATGGTGTTGTGTTGGACTTTAGTAGCCATTACAACACAGCCTGAACAACAAAACAAGTTAGTAGATTAAAAATTTAAATCCCCATATAGAATAATAAATTTCAAAACACATCAGATTATACAACTTCAAGGTTTAATTGTACTTTTAAAATTAGAGTATGCCAACTGAGCAGCGCCAAATGCAATGGGCCTACATCGAATGGAAACACTTTTCCTTAAAAATTAGGTTACCTAAAACCAAGAAGATTTTAAACCTCCTTGCTAACACTTAACACGGGTTTACTAGTATACAAGAGAATCCTTTGAACAAAATTTTCTCTTGTTCGTAATTAATTAATTTGTAAGCTCCTTCGTACAAAGATTTCTAAATACTATGTACGTCACGTTATGTTTTTTAGACTGATGATGTTCTCTCATCTTAAAGCAAATTAAGCTTAAATAGACAGAACACGAAATTAATTTTCTTTTACTTTAGGCCGGTTACACAACAAAATACGCCATGTTATGCAACAGGATCCTGTGCCCCCCTCCCCCTCAACTTTTCGTCTACTTTTTACTCGCGCGAAAGCGTTTTTCTATTCTATTCTTGCAATACTAACCTATACTGCAATATATATACACTATATGATATACGTAAGAAGGTTTTTACCTTTCTTAAATACGGTGAAAGAACGAAGGAGTCAGAGTAGTTGTCCAAACACGCAAACGCTTCTGCCAGCTGTCGTCTGATATGCAAATCACTTCAAATGTCCCGCGCAAGGGGTTATGGGTCAAGGACACCGGAAATACCATTGGTGTGTGTGTGTGGGGGGGGTTTAAGAAATAATCAATCCAGGATATTTGTAAATTTCTCCACTAATGATTATCCTAAATGTCGCTTACTGATTTGAGCTGAAAGTATCAGGGGTTCGGGTTATATTTTTGGCTTGCTTGCTTGCTTTCATTCTTTTCAATTCTCTTGCTTTCTTACGACTCATAATAATGTTGCTTCAGTCATGATGACTAATTCTGACACAACTCCTTGGTTACGTCACACATATTTCCCTTTAAACTAACTATAAGCCTACTGTTAACTCAGGCGCCATGCACCCTTCTAAAAATCTGACTCCAGACTGTGAACTGTTTGCACCAGACATGTCGTCAGAAGTGGGGTTCAGACAGTTGTTACGACAATTACTGATAACTGTCGGAAGAAATGAATGTCAAAACTTGAGGGGACTGTGGTAAAATTGTTCAAAGTGCACGGAACTAAGGACGTACTTGTTTACACTTGTGTTGGGCACAAAGGACAAATATTTTGTCCGTTTGTGGATAGTCGGCAGCACTATATGTGTGGAGGGAATTGTGGATGGCGTTCAGCACTAAGGACAGGCATGTTTGCTGTGTTTGGGTGGCGTTCAGCTCTATGGCCAGTTTTAGTTAGTTGTGTTTTAATGGTTTGCAGAACTATGTATGAGGACAGGCATGGTTGCTTGATGGGCGATGGCCGTAGGGATGTTTGCTTGTATGAGGATGGCGTTCAGCACTAAGGACAGGCCTAGTTAGCTGTTCACTCATGATTGCCAAGACTATGTATATGGACGGGCATGGTTGCCTGTTTGGCGATGGCCTTCAGCGTAAGGACAGACATGTCTGACTGTGTATTGATGACGTTCAGGAGTAAGGAAAAGTCTAGCTAGTTACCTGTGTGTTCATGGTTGGCAGCACTATATATGTAAGGAGACAGGCATGTTTGAATGAATGAATGAATGAATGAATGAATGAAACTTTATTTTCGTGTCGTGCGCATACCACGCCCAGCCCGTGTGGGCTTATACGACACCGTTTGAGAATAAATAATACATAAACAACAGAGAAACAGAGGTACAGAATCCAAACAACACTGTTTGCCAGTGTGGGGATGGCGTTCAGCACCAAGGACAGGCATGTTTGTCTGTGCGCGTATGGCGTTCAGCACCAAGGACAGGCATGTTTGCCCGTGTGTACATGGCGTTCAGCACCAAGGACAGGCATGTTTGCCAGTGTGAGGATGGCGTTCAGCACTAAGGACAGGCATGTTTGCCAGTGTGAGGATGGCGTTCAGCACTAAGGCCAGGCCTGCCTGTAGGCGATATCCAATTCTTAGGAAATGTTTACGTTATTAAAACTCGATTTCAGAATGTGAATCATTGATAGAAATACGGCGCCAATCATTTCCGGAAGAATGCCAACAGAGAAACCAAATTAGGAATGCTTCAATGAACGTTGATTTAATTACATGTCCGAGAATGGAATACCGATACGGCAAATGTTGTGTGACAGACCCCGTGTTGTTTCCTATCCCTACCCCGATCTTCCCCCTCTCCCACTCGTAGCCCTAACCCGATCGCGACCTTCCCCCTAGCTATGCATCGCCGGCACCTGGCGGCATGTTGAGCTGGACGGGGGAAAACTATCAGAGCCCCGACAGAGCCCCGAAGACAGCCTGCCAGAACCACGATAGACTGGATACAAGGCTAAGTGTTTCCTGGAATTCAAATTATATTCCAACTCCCTGAAGTATGATTTTAACCTCTCCGACAACAGAGCAATTATTATACACACCCTTTGATTTCCATCAATTCCATTTGGAATAATGGAAAGCTGAAGTGTAATATTGGCAAATCTGTAGTCATTTCACGAAATTAGGTCAAATCTGTATCACACAGAATGCATTGGAATGAATATCAATACTTTGCAATCTAAGGAAGGATATCGTAACTATTAGTTATATATACCTGCCTTGAATAGTATATACAGTTTGGTACGACATCTGTAGTGCGTACAAGTCTTCGTTGTACTGTCATAATAAAGACACCAATGATACCATGATATTCTATTTGCCATTACGTTAGGATAACAGATTTAATAACTGTTATAATGTATGCCTTATATTCGCAGCTAGCCCCAGTAGCGAGAAATGTGCAGATGGGCAGAAAAAATGACTAATAGTAGTTGGCAGGGAGGTTTTCTACAATAGTTGGCAGACAGCAGAACACCAGCCAACCAATTCGCATTCGAGAGTAAGTCAGCAGTGTTCGGATTGCGTTTGGTGGTCCAAATCTGACTCAAATTTAACTAAAAATTCGTTTCGGTTCGTACAGGAATGTAGGCGTGTCCTAGTTTTGGTCAGACTGCTCTTGAACATCAACCGAACCTGGAATTCGGGGGGAAGGTCATGAATGTGTGACAGAGATTGAAGTGGTCAAAGCAGGCAGATTTGAGTTTGACGGTATTCACAAACACACACTATTGGACGGCCGCTGGTGAGGTAATAGAGCTCCGACCTTCATATGCACACAGACTGGGAGTTCAATCTTCACCGAGGTCAGGAAGAGCAGGAGTTGGGGGAATTGGGGCAAACTAGTTTACGATTATGGTAGCCTTGTATCAAGGCCAGTGTGCTAAATCCATGCAGAATTACTCTCTATACGCAGAATAAGAAATAAATGAAACGCAAAGATACTGTGGTAGATTATTCCATGATAAAGTACAGTAGAACGCTTGGTCATTGATGTATGTACAAAGCTCTTTCATGAATTTCATTAGGAATTTCCGATTTAATACTGCTGTGGGGCTATAAAATGACCCTAAATATCCTCAGTACACATCCGAACTTTACAATGGCAGACAACAGGACCCTATGTACATATGTAAGCTTTATAAATATTTTCCGTCCTGCCCTTTAGTATAGAGGAATGCCTTTAAGCATTGAAGCATAAGATATGTTTTCTGGTTATTATTTGCCCCCAAACAATTCTTAAACAATGACTATAGATGCCTAAGGCGTCTTCTCTACTTACTTTCTTGCTTACATCTTCCCCACTAAGCTTTATTTTTCCGTCAGTCAATAGAATCACTGCATGATAAAGTGAGGTATAACGCTAGTGCTTAACCATTGATGTATGTACAAAGCTCTTTCATGAATTTCATTAGGAAATTCCCATCAAATACTGCTATGGGACGATAAAATCTCCCATGTACACATCTGAACTTTTCAAACGGCATGCAATGGGACACCTTCACTATATAATAAGGGCATCCAGTGTTAATGAACTGCTTTTGAAAAAGTCGGTTTTTAACGGCCGGAATATGATAACCTTGGAATTGTCGTTAATAGGTCGATATCTGGAAGGTCAATTCAGCACCAAGGGGAAAACTTTATTTCTTTTCCAATAGTGCATGGACAGAAGCGCGTGAATGGCTTCAAATGTGGTTTTACTGTATCTATAAAACTATATATAACGTTATGTATATGTGGTTAATGCACTATGGTAGAGCTAGTGTTTCTGTGTCATCAAATAACACTGAAACTGAAGCCACATAGCCGAGTATGGCCTACCGTACACTGCCAAACCATGGTTAGGAGTAGGTCGGGGACAGACAAGGTCGATTGTGGTTGACAAGTGTTTAGCGAGGTCGGCTACTGTTCGCCAGGTGACGTAGAATTAATGTTTCAAATGCTTAAAACAATCGGGAGTGGAAGGGAGGTTAGGAACTGATTGGGAACTGGTTGGCTGGTGGTTGGGAGTCTGTCAGCAGTGGTTGGGCTGGCAGTACAATTTGACTCAAATTCAACTCAAATTTGATTCGATTCGTATTGAAAGGTAGACGTGGAATAAGAAAAAGACTTGCTTGGTTGGTGATCGGGTGAAGTTTCTGAATCATCTGCGACAGGGTCTTCACAAGAGGTCTTAGGAAAATCCACCCTGTACAGCGCAGCGTTAGTTGAGATTATCCCGGAAAGCTTTAGAACAAGATTTATCGATTGGCTGTCCTAGTTTCCAGGAATTTTGCCACCATCAGATTTCTGGACTCATTTAATTAGATGATCTCATCGGTATTGCCTAATTAGTTTTGAGTGCCCGGAAAGGAAAGTGACCTGAAATTTCACACTTCTTGATTGTTTATAAAGTAAAAAGATCCAAATCTCTTCTCTTAAACGAGGATTGGTCAGAAGTATCACTTAAGTCTATAAAGTGTAGCTCATGGAATGTATTCTATATTTAAGCACACGTAAAATGTGCATAGAGGTATACGCAAGTACAGAAAGGGACATTTACTCATGGTTTAAGGGTTGCTTAAGTTATGGGTTTTGTGCGATAGAAGTAAAAATCCTTCTGCCCGTCTGCCTCTTTAAGACACATGGCTTCTCCTTGACACTTCTTAAAGACATCCAATGCAATTTGAGGGCGGTAAAACTGGATTTTCAAAGTCTATTTTCTGGTCATTCTTTTAATGTAGTAAGTTGAATTAATCCTATCGATATTCCATAGCATACTGATATCTGTGGGGTGAAAATGTGATGTCACTGGTGGAAAACAGTTGCTTGCTTTGTGTCATAGTCTGTTTCTTGCTATTAATGGGTGGTACACACAAAAAGGGACGCCTCTCGTACTTTTATTTCTGGCTATTTCAAACGCTTCTGATGACCTGATAACGCGTTAACGAAAATGTAATAAGAAATATTAGTAAATGTCAATGTCAGACAGATTTTATCATAATATATAGTTATTGTTTTTCATTGGGTGCCTTTCAGGCAGTATTTTTCTCCTCAAATATCTTTTACGATAGACATTTTCGGCCTCCCGCCCCTCATCCCAGACACACACACACACACCCCTTCTCTCCTGATGACCTTTATCGGTAGAATCTGGTCACCCCACGTCAGCCTGTCCAATATCCCGCCACAACCAGAAACCAATTCATCAATACGGGACAACAGAATCACCGGCGTGAATCCGGGGCGGGGGATTTGTTTGGCCAAGACAAGGGAATAACGTGCTTCACGTCGTTCTGTGATCTATATTGATCTTGACATTCACCACTCAAAATCTAATCTTTAAGCACCTAAAAAATGCGTAAATGTTCTTTTCCTTCGCACGTGTGTACCTTTAAGCGTACTTTAAGTATGCTTAAGTGTAAGATGTCTTGCAGTGCGTCTGTAGATTTGTTTGACATTCACCATACAAAATTCATTCTTAGAAAATGTTCTTTTTCGCCATTTTCTATATGCCTTTAAACATACTTTAAGTGTGCTCAAAGGTAGGATTTCTTGTAGTGCTTCTGTACATATAACGGTTTGTCATTGATACAAATCGCAAGCCTGTGCGTGGCAGCTTTCCATAATACACTTTAAAATGAATCTAAACCAAAAATAATGTTCCGATTATTCGTCCTTTAATTGTACGGTCCCACAGATCAACTAGTTTCTAATTAATTCCAAGTCCTTTTTTAGGGTTAGACCATATGATTAGCTGAAACTAATGTTGATTATGGCTATTTAAGGAAAGACATATTAAAAAAACAGTCATTACCTATCATCGCTTTCTTATTGTTTCAGACGAATCTTTCACTGTCCCTGTGTTGTTTCAAAAATGAATATTAACGATCATCATGTATCATGTTCCTATCATCACTTTATTACGTGCTTTAATAATTGATCAGCCAGACGGTATAATAACACCTTTGAGCCTTGTTGAATCCATCAGTTCCCTGGTTGCGTTTTTCTCTGGTCGTACAGTGTGTACGATGTAGTGTTCATGGTCGCAACTAAATCATTTTCTGTATTTTCATTTAAAGGCATTCAATGTAATTTTAGAAAAGTAGATATTCAAAATCAATTTTCTGGCCATTCTTATAATGTAGTAGGTTCAATCTTATCCAAAGCATATTGTGAGGCAAAAATGCGATGCCACTGACCGGAAAAGGCTGCTTTTTCGTATTGTAGCCTAGCTATTTATGGGCGGTACCCCAAAATAAAGAGATACCCTTGTTTTGGGGGCTATTTCAAACGCTTCAAGAATACATTTATATTTGATGTATATAGAATGTACTTGTGAGTGGTAGTGAAGGTCAATGTTTCACAGATTTTGTCATCCAGAATATTTTTTTTTTGTTTCTCCGACATTGCATTGGATGCCTTTACGTTTGTAGAAAATAAGCCTTACTTGGGCTCTTTTGCAGCTATGACTGAAAGAAATGCACTGCGTGACTGAATAAAAAAACACGCTGGTTGTGTATCAGCGCTGAGTAAACTTGACGTGTCCTTTTGATTCTTCCGTGACCATCAAATCAGGCGTAACTTCACGTCAATTATTCCTCCGTACCGGCAAATTGGCGGCTCTCACCCTTCCCGTCCCCGCCGGCACTTCCCTGACACTGCCGGTACCCGGGCGTACCAGCGCCGGCCGTGATATTTCATTAGGCAACAACAAGTCATTTTTATGGATGACATCAACGCGCATTGATTTTCGTCTGATTTTAGAAAAAAAACAAGAAAGTTTGTTGCCCTATGACAGTGGCTAACATGCCGAAAATAGGCAGAGATGTCTGTTGACATGCCGGAACGTTGATGACAGATAAATATGAAGAGAGGAGACAAGACAAGGCTCTGATTTATTGTTTTGCCTTACCCTTTGATGCAGTGGTGTATTTCATTCCTTTTATATTATATGTGATGGTGGTTATGCATATCTGATACTAGTATTCCCACGGAATATCGAATCAAAACCATTTTGTGCAATGATTGAAAATGTTTATTTTTCAGTGACAAATGGATGTTGTAATAGTTGGCAGTAAACTTAGCATAATATAGGTATCATTTCTTGTTTATCAAGGTTTATGACGTCAAAATTGGAAATGTTAGGAATCTTCTTTTTGTGTGTGTGGCCTGCCTTGCTTTTTCCAGCCCTATCGCATTAGATTTGGAGTCTGCGGATGATGTCATCTATAAAATTGACGTGCTGTGGCCTTACGCACAAAACATGTGACCTGAATCCATCCATGTTCTATCGCTCGTGTACTCTTCACTCTCACACACACAGGGTAGGACAGCGTACTACCGCCCGGTGCTTCCGAGATCCCTCCTAGATACTCACGTACAAGAAGGGCTGGATATATCTTGATGTCTTGAAGATGAAGGAGCACAATAAGGAGCAGAAGACGGTTTCCTTGGATCGTAGCGTGCTGAATTTCTTCGCTCCGTACGACCGAAGACAAACCCAGGTATGCAAGCACGTTTTATGTATCTGAGTGTGTTTTTGTACTAGGGAGTGGCTTTGCCGTGGGTCGATATGTGTTACAATGTATGTTTTATACTAGATGCTATAGATCAAATTGTGGAGAAAAATTGTGCAAATTATGAAAATGTAGCCAAAAACGTAGGCTGTTCCAGTATTGATATCTTCAATGCTATATAGGTGTGGCATGTTGAAATAGATAGTGTAAGATTAGCGCTGTATCATTGGGAAAGTTAATATATTCTACACATGTCTCTGCGATGTAAAGCATGATCTTCCTTGATTTACGAAGATGGATTCATATGGGACGGTTGAAAATATGATAATCCGTCTAACGTAGATTTATCTCAATTTCGTATGCTAGTTAGGTTACTGGCGCCAGGGAATTTTTTTATGAAATTGACAATTAGAACGACTGGAACATTAGAACATACTGATTAGTAGATATTTTGTTGTCTCCAAGCAAAAATATTCAAAATTCAATCAGCTTTTTTTTTAATTTTGTTAACATCCAAGTAATAGTTATTCTTCTTTAACAGAACATGTTCAAAAACGTATTTCAGAGGTTTTAAATCTAGATCTTGTGATATTCCCATGGATACAAATATTTTTTTATGAATTGAACAATTAACCATTTTTTACTAACAATGATATCGATAAAGGCACTTTGATGGGTTTCATGGGTTGTACAATATTGAAAGATTTGGAAATTCTTACTTACGACTCTATTTGTATTTGTAAAAAAAAAATACAAAATGAAATAAACAAAAAGAGTGTGCTGGAGGAAGACAGAGACCCAATTTGGCCGATCCGTGGCCTTCCCCACAACTAAATGAAAACCAAGCACGTAACTAACAAAAACGATAAATAGAAATAACAATACGTAGCTGATCGTCTGAATTAATAATAGAATGAATAATAAAATAATAACAAATGATAGCAATGAAGTAAATTACAATAACAAATAATAACAATCCAAATAAAAAATTGCTTCACAGAAGAACTGAACAACTCTTCCAACGCCTTAGCCTTCCAATATTGGGAATGTGTGTCTGGGAGGGCGTGGACAGACAAACCGGGTCGTAAATTCCCAATCCCCGTTAGAAATAAGGTCAGGGGATGATAAAGCAGAATTAGCCGAGCGCCGTGAGATCGCGGCGTGCATTACCGTCACTTACGGCGGCTTCCACTCCAATAACGGCCGGCTGGAACCACGCGTCACTCCCGGCACAGTATTGGAACCCTGATTAGGCTGACACAACACCGGAACAACGGAGATTCACATCGGCAATGAAGAAACTTATAGGATTAACTTTGGAGATGATTGCATGCACCATCGTTTAACACATATGTATAGCTCTAGCCATTGTTGTGATGCCATTATAGGTGCCTTCCTAGTTAGTTTTCAAAGACTTCTATCCCCACGTAACGCACCCACATTGAGCAAATCTGTCTCCAACAGAATGCATGGAAGGTGCTTCAAACTAGAAAGGCAAGATTTGCAAAGCAAATGCACAATGTTAACCTGCATATGTTCTTACTTACTTACTTGTTACTTGATAAGGTCTCCTCTTATGATGAGTGGCCTGCGTCAGGATTCCTTCGTCTCTTGCGTACCATGTTGTGCCATTCCGGGCGATTCTGGGCCATCTCTTCCACCTCACGTAACTCCAGCTTGTTGTTCCCTTTGATCTTCTTCAGGTCCTCTAGTACACTGTTAAGCCAGGTTTTTCTGGGTCTTCCCCTGGATCTTTTCCCATGATTTGGTGTCCAGTCCAAGAGAAATCTGGGAAGTCGTTCTTTGGGCATCCTCAAAACATGACCCAACCATCTAAGTCTGCTGGCCGATACAACTGCCTCAATACTAGTGGTCTCTGTCTGTTGTAGTACACTCAAGTTAGTGATGCGGTGATACCACCTGATACGGAGGATCCTTCGGAGACAGCGCTGGTGAAATGCTTCTAGCCTGTTGATTTGTGCCTTGGTGATGACCCATACTTCACACCCGTAAGTTAGGATCGTGATGACTGCTGCTTCGTATATCCTAATCTTGGTTGACAGAAGAATATTACTATTGTACCAGATCCTACCCAGTTGACAGAATGCACCGGAGGCTCTCTGGCATATGTTCTAGTTTACCAAAATACTGCCCTGTTACGTTTATTGTCACTTAAACATATTCATATATAATATATAGTGAGCAAACTCTCTAACTCTCGCTTCTCGCTTCAATATGTAACCCAACACCACAGTACCAGTTACCATGGTGACAGACGTCTGGCCCAGGTCATTGACTTCATTTGTTTGTTAGGAGAAGAGGCAGAATACGAGGAGGAAGAAACTGTCAATAATATAAAAATAATGTTTTCCTCCTGCGAAGGTAAACATAATAAAACTGCAATGTTTTGTGAGGACGATCTCTCTACTATTGACACAGAATCATATGAAGTAAACACACATTGAATGTAATGTATTCTCCTTGGAAAGAAAGTTAAGCAATCTGTCACAGCCGTAATCTTGTCTTGTCAGCCTCAGAGGTGAATCCTTCAGACGGGATCTGACTTAAGCCGCGCCGTGTGATCAATTTGGCAAGCTCGGCGTTTTTATAGCCCTGTGGACGGATTAGCTTAATGCCCACATTACCATGGGTATTACTTACAACTTCAAGTCACGATATATCATTGTAGGGTCTATATTGCTTTGTTTGGGTCATAAAATATGAAATACAGCATGGACGTGAATTTCAAAGCTGTTATTTTTCATCGTTTTGAATCTAGAATTATTTTGCTGATGAATATGACTGTTTTAATAACCATAGTTAATTGTAGTATTGCTGATTTTCATTTTTCATTCAAACTCTGTTATGTTATGTAGTTGGTACAATTTGATTGCAATTATCTTATCATCATCATTATCATTTCTAATTGAAAAAGATCGTTGAGTGTTTGCTACCATCACACACTTATGTGCCGGACGCTACATAAAATGTAACACTATGTTGATGAAAATTTGACATCAAGGTAAATGATACTCATAGACACTTCATGATCAACAAACTCTACTACTAGATAATATATGGGTAGCGATTTTATTTTGTCTATGAGTGCGTAAAGCGTAGCGCAAACTAACTTGTAATAGTATAGCGCAGAAGTACTTGTTTTCGTCAATGACACTACAGTAGGGCCTACCAGGGATTCAATTCATTCGAACCCGAAACCTTCAGATTCTGAGTCAACAACCCTAACCACAAGGCCACCTTGCCTCTAAAGTTGTATTTATCGTTCCTATTCTGACGCCAGTGTACGTAAAGCAAAGCTTGGAAAATATCCATTGTTTGACTCCAATCTTAAAGCAGTCTTTATCTTGCAGCAACAGCTTATGTAATGCTTTCTGACATCACAAGAAATTGGACAAAATTGCAACTTAATGGAAACCAGCAGTACTTGAGTACTACCTGGGCCGAGCTAAACTGTACGTAATGTGGAACTAATTGAGATAGTTGCAGCTCCCTGGTAGGTTTCGTAACGCTTTAATGGCTGCCATGTCCAATTTGAAGAGCAGCGTTTCAACTAAAACTGTTAGCGTGCCAGTCTTACTGTATATCATGTAATCTTTGCAGCGCAACATTTCTTCCTTCTCGTAATTCGTTGCACATTTGAAACGGTCGATGCCACATCGTTGAATACTAGATACCATACCCGAGCGTATCAAAACTTTTTGAGAGGCAAAAAAAAAATTTTTAAACGTGTAAAAAAAAAGCAACATTTCAATGGTAAGACAGTAACGTGGAATTGGTAATGGTATTAGTGAAAAAAAAAGAAATAAGCTCAAGCTCGGATTCGAACCCGGGTCAAGCAAGCCAAATCCTAAAATCCTAATCCTCTACGTCACGGTGAAGAATTGGAACGTTCTAATGCACTTAAAGTTTGCCGTTCTGTGATATGGCATTGATTGACGGTTTCAAATTGCAACGGTCGTATACGAGACGGAAATTAGAGACGGCGCCAAATTGAATAGGGTCGAACAACAAACAAAGACAACGCCATAGTTACAGGCGAGTGTGACAGAAAACAGACGCAAGCGATCAATAAATTTCTAGACTCCTCCTGAATCTTTGTGTCTCGAATTTTACTGCCCAATGTCAAGAAGCCAAGCCGTACATTCAACAGAACTGGAAATGCCTACGTCATCGAAAACGATGTTGACGTCACAGAAATTGATGACTCCCTTGGGAACGAGATCGAGTAAGCCAGAGAGTCAAAAAGTGCAGAAATCTGGCTGAGAAGACAGATGGTGGGATTTTATCGTCCCACGCTCTCCTTTCAGCACAGATGACGTATCACTCCCCAGGCGATGGCCCTGTACTTTTTCATTGTACTTTTGTGCAGTTATTGGCGATTTGTCATCGGTATATTTGAAGAATTCGCGTAACAGGTTAATCCAATGTACAATAGAGGCCAGAGGAATGCCCTCACCTTAAGCTCCTGTCACACATTCAAAAACCTACCCCCGAACACCAGCCGAACAAGTTCGGGAGCAGTCTGGTCAGATTTAGATCACATCTACCATTCTACTCTTATCGAAGAGAACTTGAGTTAAATTTGACTCAAATTTCACGGACAATCACGTCCCGACCAACTTTCGAACACCAGCCAACCACTAGCCAACCATGACCGAACATTGAGTCAACACCCGTTTTTAACATTTTGAAACAGTCGGCTGGCGCAGCCGAACAGTAGCCGACCTGGCTCGACACCAGCCAACCACAGCCGACCTTGTTCCCGACCTACTCCCAACCATGGTTGGGGGAAGTTCGGCAGTGTTCGGGGGACCATAGTCTGCTATGTGTGACAGGGGCTTCACGCCAGGGTGACATAGAAACGAGTAGGCGTTTGAATCACACCCAGTGAAGTTGACATTCAGCAGATACATGGTTTTACGAGGCCCAGTGGAAACCTTTCAACACCCTATGGAGAGATTGGTTTT